CAGGGCCGGCTTCTGCCGAGCGCGGGCATTTTCATACACACCACAGATGGCCTGAAGATCGACGTTCCGATGCGGGCTGGCCTTTTGCCTCAGCCATAGTATCCATACGTGTGCATGCCAGTTTTTTGAGCGACACAAGAAAAAGCAACAGAAGAAATTGGAACAGTGATTCATCAAGCTAGAATAATCAAACTATCAGCTACCAAAGCCGGCAAACTAGGAGAAAAGTCATAAAGAGGAGACATACCAACAAGTATTCTGTCCACACTCGACCAATCTGATTGAAATGGACGAGACCAGTGTGCTTCTGGCCATGAGGCGCTCCAGGATTCCGCGGAGGCGTTCCTCGCACGACTCTCCATACGTGTTGATTATCGCCTGGATATCAATATTATCCAGCCGTCAATTGTCTCCCGGCAGGAGGCTGCAGCAACAGCTCCAGATCTGCAGCGCGCATCCACGGCTTGGGTTGTATCCTTGCAAGTGTCGGACGTAACACAATCCAACCATCCACCCGAGGCTGATTGGTGTGGTGTATATTAAATGTAGCAGGAATAAGGTACCGACAGCATTTCAAGCGGAGTTAACAACCACGTCCTCAATGTCCGGGTGTAGCACCCACTCCTACTGCACAGGAAACGGCTGTTTAGCGAGAACAAGCGCAGAGCGGGAGACCCGGCGTGACTCAAGGGCGTACGCCCAAAAGCTCCATGCTTACTCTCGATGTAACTGCATCTAAAAACTCGCATTCAGTAGGAGTTGCAACTAGGGTATTACTAGTAATATCCGAGCGACAGGATTACTTGCTCCAGATAAGTAAAGTCAATCGCTGGATCAGAGCCGTATCGCTGAAAGTGGCGCCGGGCCTCCTGAAAGCCATTGATTACAGCGGATGTATCTACATCCATACCATATAGTGATAATAAACTTTGCAAGATACTGGAAAAAGATAGAAAGTACCGTACCTGGCCCGGTTGAAGTCTGCGATTGGTACAGCGGTTCGGAACTTGCTTCTTCTGTGTGCAGCCGTATGAGCAGGGAGCCCCCTTGCTCAAGCAACGATGAAATACCGCACGTAATCAATTCGTAGGAGCCAGTCTGCTTTCGATCTGTCTTGTAGTGTCTCTCTGGCAATATCCGGCAACTCAAAGAGGATACTCGCTCGGCGAAGGTGCAAGATGTCCCTGCCCCTGAGAAAGCGGTAGTAACCCAGTTGTGCGGTGGATTGTCGGGAGGGGTTATAAGCGAATCGCGGTCCGATGATGATTTAAATGTCTGCACGGTCACTTGTGCTCGAAAATCGTGGAATTAGTGTAGAGGGCTGTCCTCATTGGTGCTCAGTTCGTGTAGTAACATATCAGATTCAAGCCGAGCGAGCAAGCATGAAGCCTGGTAAGACGGCGGAAGGCAGGAGCTTCTACAACTTGCGAGACGTCAGCACCTAGGACCTCAAAGAGTAATAAGGAACGAGGCGGCAAGCCGAGGAAACGGGCAAAACTGCCGGAAGGGGAGGAAAGAACGGAGAGAAACGAAGTACCGAAGCCAGAAAGCAACCGCAGACGGACTCGAGCGCGGCGGAGGAAGGAAGGGCAAGAAGGAAGCAAGGAAAGCGGACAAAGAAGCCGTGCAAGACAGCGCTGTCCCCGGTCCAAGCGACGCAGGCTCCGACGACGATGTGTATTGGACAGAATTACGTTTGAAAGAAATTAAAATTTGCCTTACCGTCTGAAAAATGGCGATTTCCTCTGGGTGTCGAAATAGCAATAGGTACAGTAGCCTTGCGTCCGGAGGATGGCCTCTCCAGCATTCCCACAAGCTGCACTATTGAGTCTACCGGTGGTTGCAGAGACTTCTAGCTAGGAGACAATACTGTAATTGGAGTTTGCCCGCACTGTCGGTCAGGCTCATGGGTTGTGGCATTGATGCCCTTCGCCTGCTAGTGCAGAGATTAGAACCGATGGACGAGCATCGAAAACTTTTCATTGGAAACGGCCATGGTAGGCTGTGAGGACGTGCAGCAGCTCCGGAGGGTGTCTCCAACCATGTCGAATACAGATTCCCTTTTGCGGAACAAATGCACTCTCTTTGCCTTAGATTGATGTCGAGGCAGCTTTGCTGCTTCCATGGCAAATCCTTCCAATCATTCCCAAGCAAAGATATGGGATATTTGAAGCAATAAACCGGGTCATCGTAATGGGTGCGCAACGCCATATATTGGACGTTGTCATGAGCAAGACCTCAAGTGTCGAATTAGGTTTCATATTGCTTTCTGACACGACGAGGTTGCCAAAAAGCTTGGTTAAGATCCTGAAATCCCTAGACACTGCGCTCAGACGACAGTAGGTTTGCACCGATGAGCAAATGGACAGACCGTCTAATCCTGCCAGAAACAGTACCTAAATACAAACCACATCCACTTGTTGCACTTCTGCCCAATTCCTTCTTGCCATTAGTGTCCGCTTTTGCAGCCACATATGGGTTTGTCTGTTCCCAATAGAGGAGACGGAGATCCTGGAATTGAGCGGCTCGCGGAGGCCTTGCGAAGCGTAGCAAACGTGACGGGCTTTTGTTTACCGTGCGTGTGTATCATGCCTGAATCGTTCCAGTAATTGGATTACCCTTTCGTAATGCGTAGCTTGTCTTGGATTAGTGAATGCACAACCATCTTGGTCGACAACCGGCATCCTAAGTACTGAGCTTCAACCAAACCTGAGTATGCGCGTTGATCAAGCCTATGTGAGCGTTCCCATGACTACCACTGTCAACTGGCTTAAGTGTCTTCTCTGAGACACCAAACTTGACTTGATAAAAGACATTTTCGTCGCGCTATCGTCGGCTTCGACGGAGAGGCCAGTAAAGTCGGGAATCAGAATCAGATTTGGCCTTTGTAAATGCTTTCTCATCTGTAGCGACCTTTGCTTTTCCATATGCTCTCCAGAAGGTCATCATCATGCATAGATGTAAGTGATACGGTTATGAAATACCTTCCAAGCACATGCCCCTGTCGCTGCATTTGCACTCTGGACGATGCATCAACTGGAAAGTCCCGATATTGATGACCTTTTCTCTCGATGGCCTTCTGGGCCGCAATCGTGTTCCTCATCACGATGGGTGTAGATTTCAGCCGTATTGAGACGAAGATCTCGTTTCTGCATCGCGTTTCACGACTGGCATATTGCGTTTGGCTTACAAGGCGAACCGCACATATCATATAGGTATGACTACCTTGTACCCGTCCCACCGCCGGCATAGCATGTCCGTCTTGCTGACGAGTTAACATCTCTTGGGGAATGACCTGGCATTCCGAACACTGGTATCGTAGGCTTCGAGTTGACGTCAGTAAGGCCATAGTGCTATAGTCTGTCAGCATGCCTAATACATCCTGGTACCCGAGCATACTTTTAAAGACGCGGCGAATAGCTTCATTCTGAATGGAATGGGCTAGTCTGAGCCGAAGCATTTCAAGGTGGGTAAACCAGAGACACGCCCATGCCACTGAAGTTCGAGTAATTTTGCCGATGATTCTGGCAAGCCGCTCAATCAACGCGTGTCGTTGTTTATCGAAATGCTCTTCAGCTGAACCCACAGTTGGGTTGGTTCGTTCTGGCTGCTATTTACTTGGCCATTCTCCTCCGATGGGGCTGCTAAGATCGGATACTCCTCGTGGACACGGAAACGGAGAGGCCGTGTAACTGCCTCAGTCGGGCCGATATAGCGGCTCTCCAGAGACTGTTAGAACTCGTCTCCCGCTCTGAATTATAGTGTAGAACGGTCCGGGCCCTTGTACACGTACTGAGCCATGTACTTAAAAGACTTGTAAGCCCTAGGCTTGTGTTGAGCATCAGAGTACCGGCTCGCTAGCTGCTCCTTGATCCTGACACTCTGCGCGTTGTAGATGAAGAGGATCATTGCGAGGTCAACGGCAAGACGAGCCTCAGTAGTATTAGATCATGATGAAGTAGGGTCGCGCATGGCCTTCCCATCGACATCTAGGAAGCCGACATCGTTTGTAATAATCCAACGATGTTGTCCCAGTCGAACGGCGATTGAAGAAGCAGTGAGATTCCCTCCCCATCTGCGCTCGAGACCGAAGCTCTCTACGGCTCCTTTGTGAAAGCCTTTCCACGCGGCCGAAAAGAGATGAGTCAAGCGTCAGTAGTTGTGCGATTGGGATCTCCACCGAGGAGGCTGCACCTCAGCTCTAGTCACGGCTAGCTCGCAGGTACCAGCTTTTAAGGCAAGCCACGCTCGTAGCAGGTGATGTGGAAATTGTATTGGAGACGTATGAGCCGAAGAAGAATGCTATATCTGCCAGAATCCTTCACCTTGTCCCAAAGATCGAATTCATCCTATGGCCAGGCGAGTTGAAATTCCTGGTCGAGCATGGCGCCCAAGTCGCTACGCTGGCGGGCCTGGGTAGAAAGAATGCGCTTGATATCGGCTGCATGGGCTCTATAGGTGACAAGGACTAAAGATCTTACTGGTAAGCTGTCGCAAGCTGTGCAACGCGTCTCCACAGCATTAGCTTCTTGGTGTACCCAGTTCAACCAAAACCTGCCAGCGAATCAGCCATTATACCAGCAGATGCATACGAAATAAGCAAATGAATAGTATCCAGAGAATACCGTGGCATGTCACAATCGGTGCTCGACATACATCCGGGCCAATGATGTCCAGAACCCCAGACTGCTGTAATTGAATCCATGTTGTGGCTATGACCAGCTAGGTAGAGATCCATGACTGGAGTTGTGCGTGGCTGTCTATATCGGTTCTCCGTCTTGATTTCGATGCCAGGGACTGTAGTGATTTGTTGTCTTCTATCGCTGGATGTAGCGTGGTAGCATGTGACAATAGACCGATAAACACCGGAGACATTGATAAGAGCTCTTGGTATGGCGACAGCATCGATCAATAGACGAGAGTTCGTCGAAGTAAGTACGTCCACCGCTTCCTCTATAAGGAAGGCACGAACACCTCCTCGCCGCTACTGCTACAGTATGATGGCAGGACCGCCCTCCCCCGTCCTGATCCTGATTCTTTTCAACCGGAGGCTGATTCAACTTTGCGTGGCGCCATCATACTTCATCATGCGGCTGTCAGACTCAGCTGGAACAAAGCTCCTAGGCTTTGAGATGCGTTTCATGCGTGATAATTATTTCTTCTTTTCAAGGCGAACAAAGGATTTTGTCAGCGACGGCCATTCCCACGAACGCGTCAATGTGGCGAGGTTACGCCGCGCCGGCGAGGTTTGCCTCGGCCGCAGGTGGTTTGTAGCACCCGAGCTTGTTCCAAGGCATTCATGTCAGTGTGGGTTGGTTTGGATGTAGGTAGAAGCACGTATCGAGGCTGGTTGGGGTCAGAGGGCCCGCCCCCGGGACCCTCTTGAGGAGGACGACTCGGCGGCGTCGGCGGCAGCAGCGGGGACCGGGACCACGACGGCGAGAGGGGGCCGAGAGGAGGCGGCGGTGGAGTAAGATATTTGACATTCGAGCTCTCTAGTCATCATTGTGACGGACGTCCGATCTAGCCGCCCAGGCGTCATACATGTGCCGGATCGGCTCTTTGTAGGGTGCCTTCGGGGTAGATATTGGAATGAAGCCTAGCGGACACAGTGGCGCTCGATCAATCGTCTCTTCAATGTGCGGTCGCGTGCGTCGACAGTCCAAGATAGAAAGCTGGACATAGTATGAGAGGTCGCGCCTGCTGCCACAGTTCTGGCCAGATCACCCACAAGCCTTCCCGATGTCCATAAAACGGGCACAACCAACCAAATATGATTCCTACTACATCTCCGTCTCATCATCATCAGCGTCATCACTATCACCACCACCATCCAACTGCCGCTGGTGCCACTTCTCACCCCCTTCCGCCACGGCCGCCGCCAGTTTCCAGTAGTCATACATCGGGTTTCCGCTGCGCAGGATCTGTTCCAGCGCGCCCTGTGTCCAAGGCCCGGCCAGGTCTTTGCCCCCACCCGAGGGGCGCCAACCGGCTAGCCCCTTCCCCCCGGTACCGGGGGGAAGGGTCCTCCTCCTTCTCCTCTGCCTTCTCCTCCTCCACACTTTCTCGCTGGCGCTTGCGGGTGCGACGTTGACGATTATTCTTCCTCTGGCAGTGTGGTCCCTTGTTCGATGCAGTTGGCACACGCGGCCTGGCCCTCCATGCGTCGGCCTTTGAGAACCTCCTTGTTGATGGCGACGCAGTGTTTCCATTTCCCCTTCCTTCCCTTGCAGTTTGCGCATTCTTCTGCCCCAGAAAAGATGTCCCCCCGTAGCATCACCAAGCGGGCCTTTCGCAGCTCAAATTTCGGCTGCCCGGTCGTACGCGCAACTCATGGGCTTGTCGGGCCATCGCGGCTCGGGGTCCTCCCGCCTTGGCTCCTGCTCGAACTGTCACTTCTCGAAGAGTGTCGCCGTTGGATGGAGTGCCGGATTCGTGTTCTTTTTGCCGGTCGTGGTGCTCTTTTTGCTGGGCATGGTGTTCTTTTTGCTGGGTATGGTGGGCGGAAGTTCGGATCTGGAGAAGGCCGAAACAGTTAGCAACGGCCAGAACAGATCAGGAAAGGTCAGGAAATGTCAGGAGATGTCAGGGCAAAGTCAAAAGTGTTCAGTCATATTACCGAGGGTAGATAACTGCGGCTGAGACTGTGAAGCTGAACCGGGCGTTGGGTGTCAGACAGACACACTGCAACGACGAGGCTTTTCGAGTCGTTTATATGGATCCCAGGGTCGAGGATTGGAACTGAGAAACCCATAGAGCAGGTTTTCAGCCTCTTCGAAGCATGCCTTTCTTTCGCATTTGCCTTGTTATTTTGAGTCTCCGCTTGGGTGTCATTGACATTGTAATGGGCATTAAATGGGCATTAACATATAAAACGATGTGACTTCCATTGCCGTTCTTCAAGTTACGGTCGATCTGGCAAATATAGTTGAGTAAGTTGGCCGGTGCTGCACCGAAGCATGTTTCCGTCGACGTACATCCTGGGGTTGGAGAGTCGTGTTCGGTTAATGGAAGTAAGGAAAGGAGATCCAGTTTTCGGCAGACCTCCCCGCGTGTGTTTATTTTGATCTAAAATGATCTTTCTGAAGGTCTCTTCACGTGACTGGACGTGGCTGGGCCTCCCTTTAGGTGTCCGGAGATGACAGAAGAGGTCAGGAGAGATCTGGAGAGGTCACGAGCAATCAAGAATGGTCAGGAATGGTCAGGAAGCCCCTGTAATCCAAATCCAATCCAAAGATAGTGCAGCCTCGCGCTTTGAATCGAATGATCCAATACGTCAAATCACCATGCTCGCTTGATTCTTGGTCTTCCGATCTCTTGGATCTGTGACCATGCTGAAAATAGGCACTAGTTGGATCCTTGGGATCGTTCTGAGCGTATCGATGGATAACAGCTGTCTGCAATCAGTACTAGGCTTTCATAAGATCAAAATCGAGGACCTACCATTTAGTCACGCCCAGTCGGAGCTCGGTAGTAGCTGCCTTCCATTTCCAAAGCTTGAATCTGTGATTTGTTACCAAGTAATGGGTGCATTTCCTCAATCGAGTTGACTTGCCCCAATTAGATGCGCAATATCACTGGTAATCCGAGATCTGATCACTATCGTAGCTTCAGGGATGAAGCAACTCGGCCTGCCCATTACGCTGGGCTGTCTTGGACGTATATGTGAGCAACCTTAACGGGTTCTTTGAATTCTGTGATTATACAAGTAAAGCTGTCTCTCAAATCACACTAGAATAGATCAGTAGATGATGCGGACGTGTCACATTCGGTTTGAACTCAACTAATCTCTTCACTGACTTATTGCGTACGGTTCTAGCTGTGGTAGCCGCAATACTGAGCTTAGGAGAGTTGGCGGCCTTATTGGGGCTCAGTGAAGTGTGTATTTTGGGTATTTTAGACGGCGACTGGGTAATATCATTCAGTCTCTCAATACTGCACCTTCCGGTCTGCCTTGTTAATTTGCGTAGAGCGGGAGCAATCGTTACGCTTCTTCCGTCTTTAATCTGACAGAACATGGTTGTTGTGTTTCAATACCAACGGGTTCAAGTAGAGATAGTTGTGATCTCATGTCATTTCCATACTTCCATCCAATGCGGGCGAACCAGGCTTTCTTGAAGCCATAGGCCATAGGGTATGAACCCGGTCATCTCGAACCCATGACTTGAAGCTCTACTTTGGCTGTTGAATCCACCTGATCCATTAGACGACGCTTGATCCTTTCTCTTATAGGCTGTTGGGCTAGTATGTCGGTAGGTTATCTCCTGGCGTTCGGTCAGAATAGCACTAACCTCATATCGACGACGCTGCCGTTAATGTAGACACGGACTTCAATCCGGCTCAATGCGATGTTCAATCTGTTTAGCATTTTTAAACAGCCAAGTTACGTAGTCACCCTTAAGTCGAGGATAACGATCGGGCACTCGGCCCCCTGACATGCGTCCACTTCCGCGCCTGAATGTTGGATAAGCTGAGAACAAGCATCGACAGATAAAGCCGCCATTTCCCATGAGTTCACAGTGGGATCATAGGGTCTGAGGTAGCCGCAGCACCAGAAGAGACCCGGTTGACCGCCAGCTTGCCATCTTTGGTCATGTACTCCAGGATCCCTCGACACTAGCTCATCTCCACACTTTTCACATTCTTGTCGCAGGGAAGCACAGCAGTGGTCTTGGTGTCTGCAATTGCGCAATTTATTCCTGCAGCCGCAGGCGCTTAGAGTCTGATGGAAATCGAGAGAATCCCGAGGTTTTCGAAAATTACTAGTTGTAACGTTCTCGAGATGCCCCTGAGAAGAGGGAATAACTGCATTCTGAAAGTTCGTCACCGTCTGTCGAAAAGAGCTGCATCTCTGTGTAATAATCTTCACTCTGGGGGGGCAACGCAGTTGCTGCTAGAGGTAAGATCAGTCCTGATCTTACCAGAAGTACTAGGAGCTTCTGGAAAGCAGACTGCTGAGTGGGTTTGCCACGGGCGTTTGATCTGCAATGAACACGGTGGTGACACATCACCCGTCACTGGCGAGGTGGCCTGAGTTGAGGTACTTCGGCCCAGAATGCAATGCCAGAATATGGCCTGAGCGTGTCGTTCAAGGTTGTATAGCGTGCACTCAGGATAGGCCAGGTGGCTGTTTGCTTGAGGAACGGACCCATGTTAACGGACGGCGTTCCGTGCTTGACCTGTACAGGTTTATCAAGTAGATGGGACAATATGAAGATGATAGGTAGTATATAAGATAGACAGGATGATGGTGTGATATATGAGAGGATGATGGAAGATAAGAAAGGATGAAGAATCAGAGATAGAAGAAATGGAGTTGGGGAGGAAGGTGGGTTGGTGAATGGAAAGAGGAGGAGGAAGAGGAAGAAGAGGAAGAGGGAGTGGAGGGAGGTTCAAATAGTGGAGGGAGACGAAATGGAAGGGGCCAGATCACCTCTAGGGAATGGACAGCCAGTCAGAGAGTTAATGGTTTTCAACAATCGGTCAATTCACAATTGATGAAAATGAGGCAGTGCTTTAGCTCTGCAAACTACATGCGGTATGTGGTGAATCAATCTAGAACCTGTTTAGTAGCAAGGAAGTGAATAAGTCCTTTAGCAGGTCTACTGGTAATACAGTAACCGGAGACTCTTAATCAAAAGATTAACTGTTCCTTGTTGGTGAATACAAGCGGAGCATTGAAGGAGTTCAGCACCTGGGTGAGCTTTCATCACTGCTTAAAAATAGGGGCATAAGCAAAGACAGGGATACAAAGGTATCACAGCAAGAAGAAGCCATACAGGGCAATTAGTATCTCAAAGGTCGTCAGCAACTGGCCTATGCAAGCCATTAGTTTCAATGTCCCGACCAAGCTCCCCCTTGAACTCCATCTCGGCGGCGATTTGTTCCAAAGACTTGTTCTTCCCGTTCGAATCCCTGGTCTCTGGAATCCAAAGAGTGACAATGAGGCCCATCAGCATGAAGAAAGACAGGCTAGATGCTTGTTAGACATTCATCGCCGGAGAAAAGCCCCGATAGGCTTACCATAGAAGCGCATAACCTAGCCAATCGGGCACGTGTCGCCAATTTGCACCATTGCCAAAGTCCACATAGCCCAGAAAGCATTGCGCAAGGATGGATCCCAGTTTTCCGGACGCAGCCGAGATACCATGGCAGGTGCAGCGGAAGCGAGTCGGGAAGAGTTCTGCGGGGACCTGTAGCGTGTCAGATGTGATTCAAATGATACTAACAATGGGCAATGTCGAAGTCCAAAGAATGCCACTGTATGCAACATACAATATAAGTCGTAGTGTTTGGTCCTAGTTCAGCATTAGCCAGCTCTTTCCATGGCAGCGTATGAACCTACCAAAATTGAAAAAGATCTGCGTCAGCACGTAGAGCACAACAAGAGCCGATGCATCGCCATGCTCGCTGAGATACCGAAAGGCCGCACCGATGATCACGTTTAGTATGAACAACCAGGCAAAACCCAAAAGCTGCAGATTCCGCCGGCCAATGCGGTCGACCGTCATAACCGCAATGGCGCTACCGACAATGGCACCAGACGAGACGACCACAATGCTTTGGTATGACACACGTAATAGATACTGGTAGACGCCCGCGGGCTGAATGGCCTGCCCGTACCAGATGGTATTGATGATCTCTGCATTCATCAAGCCCAAGCCATAGAACGGCAGATCGAGGCAGAACCAGCACAAAGAAGTAGCGATCAGTGTACGGAGGTTGTGGTTCTGTTTGAGAAACATTCTAAAATCTTTCCACATGCTTACATGGGGTTTTGTGTCATTCTCGCTGGCTCCGGAGCCAGAATCGCGGGAGACGACCGGCGAGATAATGCGATCGTCGCATGTATGGGTCTGTGTGAGAGAGATTGAATCATCTCCCAAACTCGACGCCGATGTGGCTGGTAGCTCTGTTGACCGATAGAATTGAGAGACATCGGCAGCAGCCTGCAGACTATTTTTCATCACAACGGCAGTGTACCGTGGAGACTCGATGATGGTCATCCGGAACCAAATCGCAACAAAAGCCGGGACTGCGCCCAAGCCGACAATATACCTCCAGATCCTATCCAGATCATAAACGCAGGAGCCCGTACATGTCAGGCTGTTGGGGTCATCTGGGAGGCTGCTTCGGAAGCCAGCTACGGCGATGAGTGCCACGACCGCAGCGGCCGCCTCTCCAAGAGACTGGCAAAGAAACACAACTGCCAGCATGCGACCTCTTATGCGTGTCGGAGCAAGCCTGGAACACTATGAGAACTTGCTTGAGCAACATACTGCACACAAGAACAAAGGGTCATACTCTGAGCAGATCACGGCCGACAATGGATAGTCAGCCCCAACCCCCACCCCCATAAAGAACCTCCAGAAGAGCAGAACTCCAATCATGGACATCGACTCCTCTTTTCCAGAAGATGCCATTGACATGCCGAGAGTGCTGAAGATAAGGATGATGAGTTCCCATCCATACATCTTACGGCGACCCCAGATGTCAGCGGCGATGCCAAACAGGATCTGGCCAACCAGCGCACCCCCTAAAGTGGCAATCGCGAGAGCAACTTGATAGTTGTGCAAGGTGTTAGACTTGAGCTTTATGTCGTCCCAGTAGACCGCACTGAGCATCGGAGTGACCATGTTGACGGAGAAGATCTATAAGGTCAGTCACAGCTGTGTACTTGACGTTAAATTCACTTACACAGTATGCATCTGCGAAGAAACCGGTACCGGCCACAACGATTACCCAAAGCCATTCCCGCTTGCTCGCATTCTCTAAGCGACTAATAATGAAGTCGTGTCTTTGGGCCGGCTAGAGGCGAATCAGCGGAGTACTCGTCGTCGGTCATGACGGGTGGAGGGTTATGACTACCGCATGATGCTTGAAGTCTTCATAGTTTCCCCAAGGATTCAGGTACAATTTGACCTGGGGAAAAAGACCCATAGCGATTAATCAGGCTGGCAACAACTCGAAACCTGATTGGTCTTGTTCTGAATTAGTGCCTCCGATGGCACCTTCCACTTGCGTAGGAACCAAGTTGAGAGGCTGGAATAGAATGGCCTGTTCTTAGACTGCGGACTCATTTTTCTCAATCAGAATTGGAATCAGCGCAGATCGATTCGAGAAGTTATAGGTATATGATGAATGCGAGGCTGTAAGGTCGCGAGGCTGACAGAAGGGCGATAAGCGCCGATGTTGATGGCCCATGTTCGTCTGTCTCACAAGGCAATGGTGCTACTACTCGAACAGAGGCAGACAAGAAAAGACAAGATGAAAGGCAGCCCCGGGGAACATCATTCAGGTTCGTGTTGAAAGCCAGAATATAGTGGTACGTCTGTACGTCATTTCAAAATGATCGACTCATCTCAGCACGTTCCTGACCAGAGCTCCTCGATTGGTCTGGAGGGAGAAACTAAACCGGTGCTAAAAGGCTCGTGCACCGCCACCACGAGAGTTTGCCCGATGAAGGTATCCACAACCGAAAGCTCTGGGTAAATGTACTTACCATGTGGTTGAGGCGATAGAATTCGGAGCTCTGAAGACAATATTATCTCAATCCTAGACCAGATCTTGGGGCGCAGTCATGTTCAAACACCCCCCATGAAGCTCGTTCGCCCCCGGCGACAAGTTGTTGCCTGACCAGACAGAAGCGAAGGCACTTTATTCCTCGCATGGTAGCTCAGCCTCGTGGCATTTCAAGGTCCCTTGTGACTTTTCAGCGCCGGGATGCAGTGGTCGATCCTGCAGACACATAATCATTCTGCTATAGATGCTCCCATTCTCTTCCGCCTGATTTCGCATTCCATACCATTAATAATAAAGCACCTCTTGTTCTGAAGAACACCCTTAGAAACAGGGGATAAGCAATGAGCTTTCCCCAGATAGGTCTTGGAGATGTCATGACAGCCGTTACTACTGTCTGGACCATCTACAAGAATGTCAAAGAAGGACCCGCAAGTGCTTCGGCCGACTTCAACTCGTTTCGACAAGAATTCGGAGCCATAAAAGAATTATTGGAGCAGATTCAAAAGACAAAACAGTCGACCAGCAAGAGCGAACGAGTCTTGGGGGTCTTCTACAACCGGACGATTGACGAATGCGCAGAATTCGTATATAAGCATCGGCAATTGACGCAGGATGAAAAGACCTCGAATAGTCGGCGTAACAGCTTCGGCACCAAAGCAATCATCCTATTCGAGAAAGTCACCTGGCCCCTAGAGCGTGACGAAGCGGAAAGACTCCGACGAAAGCTAGAGAGATGTCTGAAAATTGCGACATTGAAGTCAAGTCAGGAATCGCGAGATGCGACGTTCGGCTTCATGAAGGCAACGGAGAACAGACAATTGGAGAATCTCGAGATGCTGAAGTCCATCAAGTACGTCCTTTTCCCGGAGAGAGTGCACGTCATGACGAAGCATGCTGATTGCTGGAAGAACCATGACATCACAGATTTCCTTACTTTTAAGGCGATGTATGCTCGACAATTCAATGGGAAGCAATGCCCTTGACGCTCATGACCCGAATCACCGTGGGAACAGATTGAGGCGAGCTCTGCTAGAGTCAGAGCACATGCTGAGTGCAATACCGGAGAACGACAACGTGCTCAGCGAAGTGGACAGTCAAAAGTATCAAAAAGGTCCTCGATCGCATCCGGGAGATATCTGAGAGACTAGGCAATCTCACTCGAAGACTCGACACTTGCGATACCCATGGTCTCGTCCCACAGTCACCATCTGGTTGGCTTGCGCCTACTCTCGATAGCGATAGCAGCGATACACTCGATGTCGCAGCTATATCACGCTTTCTTCATCAAGTGAGCGATGATGTGCGCGATGCTTTGGGTATGGTCGGATACGGGCACAATCTTGTGCCCAATCATGATCTCTATCAAAAAGATCAAGTCTCGGCGAAATCACGCCAGTCCATCAACGACACCGCCGAGGAATGGGAACAGTTCCGACAATGGCTCGACTTCCAACTCGTTCACGCCTTCAATACGAACGCTCATGATTTGGAACTTCACTCGCCAGGACTGTCTTACCTGTTTAGTCCGAAGACGTCCCCTCCTCCGGATGACCGCACATCAAGACCTATATCTCGACAGAGGTCCGCAGAGTCAGATTTGACCATCGGTTCTCCTCAATCGGTGATATCAATGCTGATACCCGACAGAAAGATCCCATTGACAAGCCATCCGGTGCAGCTGTATGTGCCCGCGTTAATATGCTCTGCTTCCTTCTGTCTTCCCGGGCCCAGATAGTCTCTAGCTAACCGTTCTTCCATTGCAGGGAATTCCTTGATCCAAACGTCCCAAGACGTGTGAAACACCGTCCTCTCATGTGCAATGTCGTGGCTTGCTTCAATACACAAACAAACGAGCCCGAAGCAATCGAAGCAATTGATGTCCAAGACGGAGTCAAGGTCACTCAAACAGTCATCCGCGGATCACCCACGGTCAAGAGCTCCATGCTTCCCTACGTTCCCAGCCGACGGGTCACTGCAACCCAGCTCGGCCTCTGGTTTCAAGGCTCGCACAAGACAAAGATTGAAGACCTCCATACAATCACGCGATACCCCATTTCCCCAATGTATCAATTCCATGACTTGAGCGGTACAGTAATTCGAATTGGGCTAACAGCTGGTCGAGCACTTAGGCTGACGTTCACAGATTTCGAGTCCTTTCAAGAGGTACTGCTCCGTCGAAGGGTCATTTCCTGTATCGACGCGAGGAGGATATCCATCAACGCGACAGACTACCACTCCAACTCAGCAGAAGTAATCCGGATACTTGAAGATCCAATTTCGAAAAGTCTATCGCTGTTGTACTTCGCTTCCTTTCCGGGGACTCCCCGGCGAGCGAGGTTCATGGATATACCCAGTACGTCAAGAGTGATGCGTGGTTGTCTGAAGCCGGCTGATACGGTTTAGTGAGCGATCTTGGAGCACCTGTCGCCAAGTCGAAGCAGGTCAAATTCGCATTTCAGAGTATCTCGCGGCGCGGTTCGATGGACAGCGCGACCAGTGTCCTCTCGCACGAGTCTAAACATTCGGCCTCCACGCTGGGACCCAGTCAACGCACCAAATGTCTTGAGCTAGAATTTTTTGATGAGAAAGGTTGGTTCCACCGCATTGTGGCACGAGGTAGATGAGCGCCTGCTGACAGGCTTTCCAGATTGTGGCGCATTTCTCCGGGTGATCAAAAACACTGAAGGTGGTTGAGGTCGGCTTGGAGCAAGTCGTTAGGAAGAACAACCCACCATGTCAGGCTGTAGGACATCAGGAATACTGATTGGGTTCCCATGCAACCATAGGAACTCCGGGTCAGTACATTCACATGAGGCCATCCGATCTTTGAAGTGAACGAGTCATCCAGCCCCATATTCCCCTCAAAATCGGGGGAGTCGGAGGGAAACAAGCTTTCGGAAGTTGGGGAGTTGATGAGGGGAAATCCCCGGCCTCATCGGATGCGCCCTTCTCTTGCCGCTCTTGACCGCTTCCGAAAAGCCGGCAAACAGATCAAACATGGCAAACGGGACAAATGTCGGATGGCGCCCGGCAGTTGGATGCGGGGTAGCCAATGGTGCACTGGGGCATGGAATACTACCTACCTAGTAGGTGTATGCAGAGAGGAAGAGCAAATTGAGACAGGAACTGAAACTTGTGCAATTGCCATTGTGTTCTCAAGCCCTGAATTATCTAGACCATATGCACTCAAATCGCAATCCTCCGATTAATTTCAATTGACTTGGACCATGTCTCAGAATATACTGTGCGCCCTGGATGGCATGCCTCATATTGTCTCAGAAACTTCTTAATATAGCAACAAAAGACATAGTCTTAGCCTGGTTTTGGTTTCAGACAGCAAAGTATATACTTGTATAAAAAGCCAGACCTTCTATTTATAGCGATCTCTGGCAAGAGATACAGATATAATATCACAGAATCATTTATATGTAAGAAGCAAGTTCATATATATCAGTAGTAGCCCGGTGCAAATTCACAAATAGCGCCTTGCATAAACAGACCATAGACCTTTCAGACATGCTCCAAGCCATAAACCACAACTATCTACATCCTATAATTATATACACACTCAGATCAAGACCAATCTATATACGCTCATCCCCAAACCCGGAAGCCCAGCCCACCTACAAAGAAGCCTTATTCCCCACCAACCGCTTCCCGAGCTCCTGCCTGGCCTCCTCCACCATCTTGGCGACATCCACATTCGCGATGACCCCGTTCCGCCGGTTGATCTCCTCCTCGATCTTCTGGAAATCCCTGCCGACGCCCTCGGCCTGCCACTCGTAGCAGTCGCCGATGAACCGCGAGCTGCGCACCAGCCACTGCGACCGCTCGCGGCGGTTGGCGTCGAACGCGGCGAACACCGCCGCCAGGTCAGCGTGGGTGCGCACGCGCTCGTCCTGCAGCAGCGTCGCCAGCACGGCGGTGTCCTCGATGCAGAAGCCGGCGCCGGCGCCGTGGTGCGGCGAGGTCGCGTGGGCGGCGTCGCCCGAGATCACGACGCGGCCTTTGTGGAAGGTCGGGACCGGGTGGTCGTTTAGGTCGAAGATTGCCCACTTTTGTTCGCTGTTAGCTTTTGGTTTTTGTTGAGGGGAACTTGGAAAGGGAGGGGGGGGGTTGATGGAGGATAGGGGTGAGGGGTGGGGTCAGGGGTAAGGGGTCAGGGCTGAAGGGTGAGGGTGAGGGTACGCACCACGCTGAGATCGGATTCAGTCAGCTTGAGCAGGTTGATCACGTTCGGTCCGAAGCCTTCGAAATCCTTCAGGGCCTCCTCGCGGGTGCCCTGGCGGGTGAGCTGGGGGTACTCGGCCCACTCGGCGGGGTTGGTGTGGAAGGCGACGATGTTGAGGGTTTTGCCGCCGTTGACGGGGAAGGTGAGCATGTGGCCGCCGGGGCCCATCTATCATTCCATGTCAGGATCCGCGGGACTTCGAGAATAGAAAGCCCTTTGAGACTGCTTGGACAAGACAAGGTAAGGGAGACAACTCACATGCATACACGAATTCGAGGCCAACTCCTCCCCAATCGCCTCAACCGCCTTCTCCATTGGCACCAGGCCCCGATAGGCGTACTTGTGCGTGTACGAGGGCTTCGCCGATGGATGGTCGGCGCCGACGATAATCTGGCGCACCTGCGACTTGATGCCGTCGCACCCGATGACCACGTCGGCCTCTTCCTCGGACCCGTCCGCGAACTTGAGGATGAGCTTGCCGTCGCGGATGCGCTCGTGGATGTCCTCCAGCCGCCGCCTGAAGCGGCAGATCTCCTGCGGCACGAGCTTGATCAGCTCATCCAGGAAGTGCGCGCGGTGCACCCCGTTCTGGCCCAGGCTGTTGGAGATGGTGAACTCGATGTCCTGGCGGCGCTGGTCGGCGCCCGTCTGGTCGGCGCCCTTGCTGTAGTTGTAGCCGTCCAGGTAGTCGAACCAGACCTTCTGCTTCGAGGGCCACAGGTTGCGCGTGCACACCTTCTCGAAGGCGCTGTAGATGCCGTCGTGGCAGAACTTCATCGCCTGCACCGCGTTCGGGCTGAAGGACACCCCCGCGCCGACTTCGGAGAAGGCGTGCGCTTGCTCGTAGATGGTCACGGAGATGTTGCGGTGGTGCAGCGCGATGGCGAGGGTCACACCGGCGATGCCGCCGCCGACGATGGCGACGTGGAAGTTTTTCTTGGGGGTCGACATTGGGGTCGTTGTGTCTGAGGTTGGTGGTAGTGGTGGCAATTAAACAGTGGTCTGTTGGTGCTGTTGTTGTTGCTGGGTGAACAGGGCTATTCGAATTCGTGGAGTAGATACTATGATTGAACGGTGCTTGAATGCAATTGACTTGGTGTCTTGGGTTGAGACTACGAACGGGCCTTTTTATCTATCAGGCCAAGTTGGCTACTAACCCCCCCCCCCCCCAACGATGTCATCGTGGGTGAAGCGTGGAGGTTCGGTCGGATCAGACCCAGCGACGGTCGGTTCCAAAGTTCTGGGGCCTCGAGCCCCATCGGATGATCCCCGTGGAGCCTTCGGACACGGTTAGACGGCACCTACACTGCCTAGCCGATGCTCAGATATGAGGCTAGGGTGTTGATAGGGGGCAATAATAGGAACCGTTATGATAGTCGAGACCGTAGGCCGCAGTGATCAAGTCGATCGACCCTATCAACATTTGGAGATACACATGTAGTGTAGAGTATAGGAGGATGCGGACATGATGACCGCACAAGCGTGCCCTGACTTCCATGGGCGGGGAGACTCAGCCGACGTTTCCGGGGGATTTCCGCATCCGAAAGAGTTTCATATTGTGCTATGTGTATATTTGAGCCATTATAAGCAGCACGGGATAATTCACAGCCAGTTGACATCTCCCTTCAGACGTGCTGAAGGCAGGGATCATTCGGATGCGCCTCGTTGAAAAGAGCCGTTAACAGTTGACGGGATGCAGCCCTGCAGTGCGGCAGTTGTCCCGCGCACCAAGTGTGTTCTCGGGTATCGACGTCATCGGGACGGGGAAAACGGGCACTCGTACCAGAATTCATGATCATGGAAAAAGAGGGCAGTCTGAGGCTGCATCCTCGATTTGTATTTATCCTGGTGCGTAAGATGCATGGGCTCATTGCTCATAGACTTGCCGTATAAGTCCCGACCTCTGTTGTGTAACAGTTGGGTGCATTGCCGATAGCCGAAATTGGGGCATGATCCTCTACACTGAGTGAAGCTCTCAGTACAGTACAAGACACAACTATCATGTGGTGAGATTCGAGACAGGCAGGCAGGCAAGGAGGTTGGTCGCTCACTCCAGCACAATTCAATACACGCGTATACCCCGGATTGACACACAGTTCCCCATAGTGGCCAAGACTTAACCACACTGTGTGAAGCGAGCCTTAAGACCGCCAAGCCCATGGATGGCATCCTTTCCGTTCCAGTTCTTTTTTGCTCGTGACCGCTCGGTTGTCTTGGCATACCCTGCACACGGTGTGACTGTGTGCTCACTACGGCTAAGCAAGAGTGCCGGTACAGCAACAGCAGGCCGCGCAGCCCAGCCGAAGTGGGGGAACTCCAATTCAATCAACCCGATTTAATAACCAAATCAAATCAATGACTTTATCGCCCGAGAGTCAGTGGACGGGAAAAAGTCTTTTAATTGAAGGTTCCCTGAAACCCTGCCCATTCATTGGATACCAGCCCGATTTTCTCCATCAAATTGCCCTGCCAATCATGCTGCTTTTCTTCACCTGCACCTTGCCCCGAGAGGCAACTGACCAGTTGCGACCTGCCCTGCAGTTGTGTGTTTCTTCCCTTTCGAGAAGGTCAACACCGTGGAATATGTTGGCGCCACCATGCAGGTTGCTCGCTGGAGGTACAGTACTCGGTACTTGCTCGTCCTTCGCTGACTGGCAGTGATGCATGAATTTCCTGCGAGGGAGTCTCATCCTGCATACACCTCCAGAAATCGCATTCGCTACGTTCTCTGCAAGCATGCAAGGATCGGGGAAGATCCAGCAGAACCTCATCCGACCGCCCATGCAACGCAAACTAGAACCAGCTGCCTTTCCAATCCCACGTAATCCCCTTTTATTCGAGTGCTCTGGTCTTAGCGGCGATCAATGCGCCCCTCACCCGATGCTTTTTGTGCGGGCTGACAATTGCATTGCTTTTCCAAGAATAGCTCTTCCTCCACAATACAACAGTGTAGATGGTGATGTCGGTGTGAACCGAGGAGGATGTTGATACGGATCTGCTTGGAAAATAACACCTAACTATATGGTGTGCTGCTAGTTGAGCACAGCTGACAACAACCACGACAGCGACAAATCCATCCTACAAACTAGTAGTATACGTATAAGATTGAGTGTCGGATGCTTCTGAGCTCACGTATCGTGACTCGACGGCCTACCACATCAGTCAAGGTCTTACTCCGGCTGACTATGTCCAAGCTAAGCAAGCCTCCCTACCCCTCATATCATCTCCCATGTCTTAATCCTAGATAATGAAAGAGTCGATTTCCCGCGTGCGTCAACTGTACTAGTTCGAGCTCCCGTACTCGGACTAAGGCAAGACCGAACAACAGAACCAGGAAGACCATCCACGGCTCAAATGAACGACAAGACCTGTCTTTTATGTGTACTGCTGACAGTTCAAGCACTGTTCCAATGATTCATGTAGCAGTAGCACCAGTAGCTCCGTCGCACCCAGCCAAACCACACGGGAAATACACGGCCAAACTCGTTGTTTTTTTCCGCTTAAATAGCGAATTGGGCAAGTATCCCACCTCCACTTTCCACCGGGACAGAGTGCCATAGCTTAGGTGTGAGTCCAAAGGGGGGGTGGAGGGGGGGCACCGCTACTTTTCTCGGCCGTTGAACTTGTCCCTTGACCGTAGTAGTCAATTGTGCACAAGCACAAGTACTGAACATGTATACGTCGGTAGTAAGTCCTACCCCTACCCTGTATGTATGTATATGTTTTTCCGAGGGAGGACACAATTCGGACCTTTCCACATAGTTGCTCACGTTATCCTCCGCCAAAAGGGGGCGACATCCCCTCTGCATCCATGGGATCAGCAAGAAGTGGCCATTTTGTGTGTTTCGAGAAGAATGAAAATTTTCTTCCTTCATCTTTTGCTTGTGTTTGTTGCTTTTTTTTCTTTTCATTTTTTTTCTCTCACTGGGCTAAGGTACCGTTTCGAGAGCCCCACTGAGACGGGAATAAGGAACTGGAGTGGCGTTCGAGCTAAACTGGGTTTGCCACTACCTACATCTTTTGTGTCGTCTTAACCGTTTCGGTCTTAGGCAGCTACCAGACAAAGCTCGCAGCTGGGTGAGCTTCTGGGTTGAGGTGCATGGGAAGCTCACTTACTAGACTACTCCCCCTTGGGAAGCTGTATGGGGGGGGGGGGGGGGTAAGCTGGTTTTAGTGTTGGGGGGAAAAGAGCGGAAGCCTCCAGCTGGAAGGGACGTGTGTGGGAGCCTGGGAGGGGGATGGAGGGGGAGAGAGGGGAAGGATAGTAGGTGAAAGAGGGAGGGGAGATGTGATTGATTGGATTCATTCAGCCTGCGAGGGGAGGGGTAAAAGTACTCCAGGCTAAGCTGAGGTTGCAGCACATGGCCTTTTTTAGCCTATCGGTTCACCATTTGATCCTTTACCCAACCACGCGGTGCTTTTCCTTAAGCATACCTTACTAGGAACTACCCTGGGCTGTATGTAGGGTTACCTCTAACTGCACTACACTTTACTTGGACGGGAGTTCTCGGTGGAAGTGCGAGGGAATCTTCTGTGACCTCTACCACTATGGAATGTCGACTAGATCCTTTATCCGTGGTCGGTGACCTCGATAAGATTACTCTCTCTTTCCCCCGTGGTTCCAGAATCCTCTGAGTTATGCTCTCTCTGGTCCAGAGCTGAGCTGGGCCGGGTTATGCAGCAGCTGTCGTAAACCCCAAGAATGTGAGGAGGGGGGTTCCACCGGCATTCCCGAATTGCTGGTCGGCGATTACTGTACTGTACTGTACTGTACTGTACTGTACCGTATGCTAATTTCCGCTAGACCCGTTCCAAGTAACCGGGCCGTCGACCGACGATGGCTGGTGGAATTTTTAGACCAGCTGGACCATATCATGGCTGTTAAACTAAATCTCTTCGCTTCAGAGTGTAAAAGGAGGAAAGTAAAAACTTTGGGGTTGAATCGCACGGATCACGAGTGGTAAGTTAGCGCTTTGCGAGTCCTCTGAATATATGAAGTCTATGTCTTGTGCCAACTGCCAATGCTTGAAAATGGGCAGAATCGGAACGGCAGAGGCCATTCAGAGGGGTTCCTGCCGCTCATCCTTGAGCTCCGGTATGGTCAGGTAATGGTCACGAAGACCGAGGCTGAGCTACAAAAAAAAGTCTAAGTGTCACATCACTACCCTCACCCTCACCCACGCATTTACTATCAGGCGGGCAAAGGCCCTTTCGACTCTACTCGACTCGACTCGACTTCATGCTTGTTGGAGAACAACTGCTCCCCTTTGTTTGCCGCTACAGAAGCAGAAAATAAAATCAGCAGCAGGTCGAAACTTCGGATCGAGCATCCCAGCTCGAAACTGGTAATTTCCGCGACAAGACAGACAGAAACTTTCCCTATCCATCCATGTCGTGCGTGCGGATATCGCGCTGTCCCACATTTAGCTTAGCTGCGACAGCAACACTTATCGATAGGCGCTATCGGCATCAGATACCCTCTGGCGTCCAGCTAGTCTCGGACGGGGAGGAAATTGTATTACATAGTACTCAATACCAGGATCATTGTTGGCACATGCTGTCCTACCGGCATTACCAGGACGATAATAAAACAAGATTAATGCCTCATAAGGGTATTGCTCGGATGAGATTCCAGTCAGCTACTCCGTAGTCAGACAGCCGATTACTACTAGAGGAAAAGTAATGCCGCCCAGAGCTGCTACCGTAGTATGAGGAAGGGAGCTTTCCTGCTTATCCAGCTGGAGCTTTTTATCGTAGTTCCCACTTTAAACCTCGCCCAGCAGCAACAGCAGCTTCCTATGGATGTGTCTTGGTTTGCTGTAAGCTAGGTAGACATTCAGAAACAACACATAAGGTAGTGACTGGTATATTAATGATTTCTTCGGAGTTTTCTTTTGCCTCTCTCTTCCTCTTCTCGATTTCTCCTCATCTTCTTTCTCTTGTTTTCTTGTGATTATCCTTCCCACGGTCCGGAACTTGAAATGCTTATCGTGCCACCGACAGAGCATCTGTGAGACGCTTATCCCACCTTTATCGAGGGTTTGACAACAAATCCACCGAAAGGGAACCTTCTTTGTTCCACTTATCGCCTGCTCCGTGGGTTTTCTGGATTGTTCATTAATCCTGGACAACCACCCTCTCGGCGAACACAAGCGCTCTGTGAGCCACGCGGTCGGAGAAACCAGCATTGCGCCCGTTGCAAGCACTGCGCTGCCCTGCTCTGTTAGCTAGGTAGCTACTTGCCTAGTAGCTAGCAAAGCATTTGCCAGCTGTTTCGCCTGTTCAATTTAGCTTTTTATTACTTACTGTATGTATGATTCCTGACTATACCACTGCAATACCTTCTGTTCCCACTTTTTTCGCCTTTCCTTCTCAATTTTTCTTCTTTTTCCCTGCCTCTTTTTTTCAATTCTTTTTTTTCTGATTTTTTTTGGACTCTTTCTCCTTTTGCTTAAAGTGGATATTTGCTCTCCCCCAATCCTTTGCCTGTCAATTGTCCAGATTGTGTGCCACTAGCCTGATTTCGGCCTAGTGGATCAGTGAAGCTCCTTGACTTTCTCCCCCTCCACTGCCACTGCTTGTAGTGCTGCTTCCCATACTTACTACCTTACCTGCTTGCCTATTACTACTACTTTCTTCATCCTTTCCTTCTTCTTGCTGCTGCTGCTGCTGCTGCTTCTGCTCTATGAGAGATTGATTGCATTAGTTTCTACCCCCATTCGCTGTTGATCCAGATATCAGTGCTACTTACTGGTCTTGGAAATAGAAGCTAGAGCAAGTGGTGGTCTAGCAGGGCGTCCGCTTGGCCATTACTCATACTGTTGCAATACTCTTTTTCCTTTCTTTCGCCGCCCTCCGTTGTTCTCTTTCTTCCATCATCCCATTTCGCCTCTCCAGTTGACTAGACTTGCTCGAGCTTCCTTTACAAACAATCTGCTGGTATTTTCTGGTCGCAGCAGCTGATGTCGCCTTGCGGAGATCTTCCAGATTGAATTGACCTTGCCCTGAAAATCACAGCCTGTGTGCCTTGCCTTGTGTGTGTGCTGGTGCTTGAACCTCCTTCCGACCAACCCACCCCACGCCGCCGCCCGAACGGATCCATGCAGACCATGCCGCCCCGATCATCTTTAACCAGTTCGTTCTCCGTCACTGACGCCAACAACGAAGTGGTTTGCCCTTTGAAAAACAATGATGGTTCCAATTGTCGCAAAAGATGCCTGGGAGTAAGTTTCCATTCTTCCATCTCTTTGTGTTCTTTGTCGCCGTGCTTCTTCCTCGCTCTCCCCGCCGATCGGGGCCCCACTTTCTCATGCAGTGGGCAGCAAGCGCCATGCAAACTGAAGAGGGGCAGCTGCTGCGAGGTTCGAGAAACAGGGACGAGCTGGGATAAACGAAGACTGTAATGGCCGCATTTAACCGGTTGTTCATCGCACAGGAAAAGCGCTATCGCTCCATGCAGGAGCACATTCGCCGTGCTCACCCCAATCATTACATTCCGAAGCTCCCGGCTACCGAGGAGAGCTTTGTCTTGATGGTGACAACCCCACCAGACCAGCGTGCTCACCTTTCTCCTCCGAAACCCGCTACTTCTCGACGGCGCAATGGTTGGTTGATACTCTTGGGCAGATTGAGGATATTCAGCAGCTGACTGGGAAGTAGATCTGGCTGATCGCGACATTTATGTTGCCGATGCTGGCTCCCCCGCAACCCCGCGGGGTATCGATGAAGCCCATCCGGCCGCTGCCACCGCAGCCGTCGCCTTGGCCCAATTGCACCACAACCGCTTAGCATCTGACTGGGATACAGACATGGTATGCTATACAGACTGCTCGTTTGCGGATTAAGCAGGGAGAAAAAGCGGTCGCGAAAAAAAAAAATCAGACATTGACTGGTCCGTCTCAGGAAACCCAATCGGACAATGACCGGGACCGGATCCGCTCCGTCGAATTGCCGTCACTGCGCGAGCATTTCAAACAAGAGTCATTGCCTCCATTTCCCGCGGCTCGCCCTCGAGAGCTCCTGCCTTCCATTCTGACACACTCGCCGCCCGGGCGCTCTTCGACGTTGCCTCCCATCCAACGTAGGGACAAGCTGCCTCGATCTCGCAAGTCGTCGATCTCTGGGGCCCGCAAGCCGAAACACGAGCGCACTAAATCGAAGGAATACGGACGACGTCCTAGTCTAGGAGATCGCAAGGCGCTTTCTGCCGAGCCACAAACTGCAGCTTGGGCGCAGGGTAAGCGTTGGGAGGACCTCATCGAGGCTGCTACTTCCGCCACAGAAGCAGATGACGAACACCAGTCTGATGTAAGTTGATCTTGGGATTCTCTCGGGTTACGTTTCTAACTCTTACTAGGTCGGCCGGTCGCCTACGATGCCGCCTCTCATCTCCAATATCACCTCGGCTCCTGCGGGCAACAACCGTTCTTCGCTACCACCCGCATTTCAAACCCCCACTGGACTACCCCCACCGACATCTTACCGGCCTTTCCCCCACCCCTTCGCGTCGCCTATGCACAAGTCCATGACCCCGCCGCCGTTTGATCGCAACCGCGACAGTGACTTGGAGCCATTCCCGTCCATCGAGTCGTCCATTGACTCAGCTTCGTCGACGTCGGGCAAGAATCATTCCTTCTCCAGTCACCTTGCGCCTTCGATCAACTCGGATTCCAGCCCAGTGTTGAATATGTTTCCCTCTGCGTCGCAACGGCAACACCATCGGTTCTCAAATCCCACCCCGGCCTCTTACCGTAGCAAAGAGATTCAGATTTACTGTGCCAGCTGTAAGCGGCCTTGGGCACTGAGTGAATGTTATGCCTGCACGGAATGTATCTGCGGAGTTTGCCGGGAGTGTGTCGGGATGTTCATCAGCAGCCCCCCTGCATCCTTCCGGAATGTGACGTCCAGCCCAGGGAGCGCGATGTCGCACGGGCCGACCAGCTATCCTAACCACCCGCGCGGCTGTCCTCGATGCCGCACGGTCGGGGGCAAATGGAAAGCCTTCCAACTTGATTTTAGGTGATCTCTTCATGATTCGACTGGGCGCCTCCGCTGCGCTCTTTTGACAACTTTATGTTTTACGGATGTTACGAATAATGGCTTTTGAGGGTTCGTGGAAACTCAAGTTACGGTACAATGACATGACCATCAAGGCACATGACCCTGCATGCGGTCAACGACTACATGAATTGCCCTTGAACTGCTGAAAATATATTAACCAGCCGCGGAACGGCTTGGCCGATGATCCACCTCACGGCTGCTCCCCGAAAACTCTTAACGAAAAGCTGGACTTTTTTGTTCTGTATGTTGGTACAATTCCGCTGGGCGCCTTATATACACCACCGTTGGAATTTTGTGATGTTTCCATGCCATGTCACCACGATTGTCTTTCTATACTATTGGCGTTTGTTACCTGGATACAATTTTTGATGATATATTTGGACAATGATATAAAACTTTGATGGGATATCTACAGTGGCTGGTTTTCCTTTTGCAACAACCTGCCTGATTCTTTCTTCTGTATTCAGGAGCACGGTTCCCTTCAATTCCAGCTCTGTCTTGTGGTGCCAGCATATGTGGAAAGTATTCTGGTCAAAGTCCCTGCAGGATTCGCTGTGGCTGCGTCCGTGCTTCAGATCTTGGATAGAGCTCCTGTGTCCAAAAGAGATCGAACAAGGGCTGTAATTGCTCGAACTGCAATCCCAGCAATCTTGTCACCGTCGCCCGCATCCGGATCAAAAGAACACACGGTCAGCGACCGAGGGGTCGTCTTCTGCGGAATTAGTTCCATGCAAGCGATCAGATCCGATTCAAATAAGCCACCTGGAGATGGGTAGTCATTGACTTTGCCGTACGAGTCATCCAAGACATCTAGATCCAGATGAACCAACACCTGGCCGTACGCTCGTTGCTCCAGCTGGGTCTTCAGCTCCGTCGCGAAATCGACTTTGCTCTCTGTGCTCCCCCAGATGACCTGCATGCCCGCCTCGATCACCCGCTGCTTCTGCACACTGGTCTGATCTCGGAGCCCGCAGTACAAGAACCGCCGATTGAGGTCCACCGGCTTGAACCCCGGCACGCTGTTCATCAGGGTCTTCCAGCTCGCCCCACGCAGCATGGACAGGCCCATGGCATCCAGATACCCATTTTCGTTCACGTCGGGCGAGTCCAGATCGTCGTGGGCGTCGAAATAGACGTAGGCCAGGTCGTCCACGTGCAGCCCACAGGCGACCGCGGCGCTGGCCATGCAGTTACCCGACAGGATCAGGGGGAAGCGGCGGTTGGCCACTGACTGGCTGACGGCGGTGGAAATCCGGCGCAGGAGCTCGAAGCTGCGCCCTATCTCGCCTTCGAACTCGTCGACGGGTGGGATCTCGATGAGATGGAAAGCGACACCCAGGCGGTGGAGGTCTTGCTCGAGCCCCAGGGAGAGGATGCGGTGGGGTCCGTTGCCGACGCGGTGGTCGCGCAGGCCGACGTGGTAGGGAGAGAAGATGATGTCGATTGCTTGGGGGCACAACGTAGCAGCCATGATGCTGTCACGGGACTTCAGGTAGGTTTTCCGGTGATTGCTTGTGTGGACGGTGACTATATATATCAATACAGCTGGTTATCAAGCTGTGACGGATAGCTGGTAGCTGCTTAGCTGCTTTTGAGGTGTATAGGGACTCTCTCTTCCTTCCCTAAGATTTACAGATCGAGAGACTTTATCTTTTAAGCACGCCCAAGCACGCCCAAGCACCTCCAAGCACCTCCAAGCACCTCCAAGCACCTCCATGCACCTCCAAAGATCCTCAGCTGGTCCTGCTTATATAATCCATATGCTTTTGGCGGGATGGCTCGGACTATACCGTATCGGGAGATCCCCACCATGGAGTGACACAGGGCGCCGGTGCTCTACTGGATATTCAGGGTAAGTAACTTACGGGCTAGACTCGCCCCTTCCGCCTTTCAATTCTTCATCATCATCATCATCATCATCTTGATTCTCTTCACCTCCTTGCCCAGACTCAGCCCGGCTCTATCTCCCGCTTTCCTTTCACATGGCGGAGGATCTAAGCGGTCCTCCCAAATACTGTTCTGATGTTCTAGACTTGCCGCCTTTAGATCTCCCAGTCTCCATTGCGGGGTCCGAGGAACCCCTGCACTTATACGACTCCCTGCTAAGTGCCAACCTAAGTTTCCCAACGGCATCTCTGCCCCCGGAAGGTCAATTTGAAATATGCCCGGTTTGTTATGAGCATATTTCATTGGCTTCAGCCTGTTCATGCTGGCGGCTCTTCAGCGACAACACCAACTTCGCCCAAAGCGCACCGGAAGCAGGACAGTTTCTCCACAATTCCCACGATATCGCGGCTTCGAATGATCCTCACGCGACAGAAGGTCTCAGATCTTCTGGAGGTCGTTTGGGAAGGAAGAAGAAATATCAGCGTCTATCGAAGGAAGCGGTAACGGCTTTGCGGTCATGGCTCTACAACCATCAAGACTACCCCTACCCCACAAAGGAGGAGAAAGATGCCCTGCAGCAGCAGACAGGGCTCCACCAAGCTCAGATATCCGACTGGTTTAGTAATGCACGACGGCGCACCTGGTTCGGAGGAAGTGCGTCCCAGGCAGTCGAACAACCGGCACCAGCGGCTGATCACTCTCTACAATCGCCCATGGAAAGATGGAAGAATTCCCCGCCAGACAGTGAGGCGGCTGCGACCTCGGACATCATGCGAGCTTTGGATAGCATAGAACGTCCGGATGACGATGAGGAGAGTGCGGGAACCTCAGCTTCTCAGTATGCTTGGTCGAGCCATAGTTCCAGTAACTCCTTTGTCGTTGGAGCTCCATCTACCAGCACGCTGGGTCATAGCCATTCATCGGGCTCCGAGGCTTCCTTGGGCCACCACACACACTATCAGCCCGTGCAACGACCGCCGACTCCCATGAATGGCCGGCGATCTCTGTCTGGTCGTCGCCATCGCCGGCGTCAGAAGCCTCCACGTCCCAACGATTCCCAAGCACATCGCCAAACGAGGGAAGACCGTCCGTACCAGTGCACATTCTGCACCGACTCTTTCCGCACGAAGTATGATTGGGAGCGACATGAAAAAACTTTGCATCTGCCTGTGGACCTTTGGACGTGCGCCCCCGACGGTGGTATCGTTGTTGTCGACGGAACCCGGACTTGCGTGTTCTGTCAGGCCCCAGACCCGGAGACTGGTCATCTTCTCGACCGACACAACTATTTTGCATGCCAATCTAGGGCAGACGGGCAACGAACGTTTTCCCGCAAAGACCATCTACGGCAGCACCTGAAACTCACGCACAGTGCGGAGTATCACTCCGGCATCATGGATGGATGGCGAGCATCGCGCACCATTGTCTCCCGCTGCGGGCTCTGTGACGCGACCTTTGCAACCTGGAAAGAGCGTGTAGACCATGTTGGGGCTCATTTCAAGAATGGCGCCGATATGGCGGAGTGGAAGGGTGATTGGGGGTTTGCGCCAGACGTGCAACGGTTGGTTGAGAATGCCATGCCGCCCTACCTTTTGGGTCACGAACGGCGCACAATGGACCCCTGGAAATCGTCCGTTGCGCTGCTGGGAGGGAGCGTTCCCGAACAGGAGGACACACTGGGCTTTTCCTACGTGTCGATCGGGAATGACGTTCCCAATGCCCTTAACCGCTACACGGATTTACGTCGCGCCCTGATAGATTACATTCATAGTCAGACTGCCGCTGGCATCTGTCCCACGGACGAGAGGCTACAGCAAGTGGCCCGTCAATTTTCCTACGGTGGGAATGACCCTTTGGATCAAACATATGCGGATTATGACCCCTTGTGGTTGGAGGCTGTCAAGCAGGAGGCGGGCCTCGGCACGAAGCCGTTTGTCCCGGAAACACAATAATTAAGAAGCTTTGATGTGCAGTCCGCTCGGGCCACCATGCCTTGAATGAAAAGGTCGACCCATCAATTTGAACGCCAGAGCAGTGAGAAGATGTTAATGCAAATGCTCAGCGATTTTGCATGACGACTTCTTCGGCCAACAAGTGAGCGTTTTTTACCTCGTTGACTGGAACTAGAAAGCGAGACTTATATAAGAGCAGGAATGTAAAGGGGCTATCCCATGCTTTCGAAGGTGATATGCCTCTAAGTGGCCGACTACTTCGCTAACGGTCACTTATGGAAACTCCCAGAGTCTACCCTGCATAAATCGCGGATGCTCAGTCTCGCACAGAGGATGTCTGATCTCACGGAACGAATACAGCCTCGTCCACCGCTTGTTCAACAATCCATCAAAACTGTCCTGCAGATGGAAAGACTATACCGCAAACTTTATAATAATGAAACGAAACAACCTTAAACTGGGGTTCTAGCCCCAGAACTGCTATCATTTCTCTTCTTTGTGATCAAGATAGTGCCCGAAACTCAAGAAAAGTCCAGGTGCTAGCTACAGACAGACTGCTGCCTTCCTCACTGGCGTGATACCCAAACCTGGGTTGTTGATTAAGCAGGTTCGAAATTCTAGTGGTGATTCGATAGATGAACAACAAGGTCCAGGTACTTGTCGAACTTGGTTTGGCAGAGTTGACACGTGGGAGGCCAGTGCTGGTCCCGATGCTGGTCCCAGCAATGCGCGGCGGCGGCATGGCGGCACAGAAACTCCCCGCCGCAGACGGGGCAGAAGCAGGAAGACAGGTCCGGCTGGCCGTCGCCAGGCGCGGCCGATCCCAGGCCGCAGTCGCAGGCGACGGTGCGTTCCTCGTGGTCCCGCTCGTGATGGCGCCGCACCTGCTGGTGGATGTAGTAGCTCTCCCCGCAGATCCGGCCCGTGGACGGCCGGACGAAGGTGCAGATGAGCCGCCCGCTGATCTCGTCGTGCCGGTAGCGATAGGTGGTCCGGGGCCCGATGCTGGTCCTCCGCCGCCGATCGTTGCATTCGGCGGCGAGAGCGGCGCGCTCCTCCGGCGCGCGCCACAGCACGCCACACTCCGGGCAGCCGTACGCCAGCGGCCGGCCGTGCCGCCGCTCGTGGTTGCGCAGCAGGTCCAGGCAGTTCACATGGCTCGTCGCCTGGCACCGCGGGCACTGCTCCACGTTCTGGTACTTCTCCATGTCGCACAGGCAGCATTCGATCTCCCCGGCGGACTCCGCCAGGATGAACCGCACCTCCGCCGCGTGCGCCGGGATGTAGTCGGTCGGGTACTCGGCCGCTGTCACGAGGGCATGGTCGTATCGGTGGCGGAGGTCGTCTGTCGGGAGGAGTCGCTTCCTCTCGCGCGGCATGGCTGTCTATCTCGCGTCTGGTCGGGTTAGATTATGTGCTTGCACGGTCTAGTGGGTTTTTGGTTGAGATTAATATCAGGGTTTGGATCGTGAGGAGGGCGAGGAGGTCGTGGGGGATGGGGGCATGTCGCGTGGATCTCTTTAAATACTCGGGGGCTCGATGCAGATATCCTTTCTTTTGGGGAAGGTCTAGGGTAGATCAGGGCTGTGTAGGAGTTGGAACGGGACCGCTTCGTACGTTCATTGTTGGCTAGATGGTGAATCACCTTTGTTGTTCTGTGGTTAGAGGCAACAGAGGAGGTGTTCGGGCTAGAAAAGGAGAACGCCGGCTCCTCCTGAGGCTGAATGGGATTTGTTTGTTTGTCCTGTTGAAGTTGAAGCACGGATCCTGTATGCATCTGTATCTGTTCCGATGAAGGGGTTTGGGTTCGGGTCGTAAGGGTGAATGCTGGGGCTAGAAGGCTGTATGTACCGTACAGCAAGCACTGTTGTTCTCGGGCCAGCGGGACAGGCGATTTCTCTTCCGTAGAGACCGTGTTGTTGTTCTGTCTGTCCAAACATCAGCGTAGCATAAAACCGGATGTGGGTTTGAAGGCTTGCAGCGTTGCCTTTGTAGGAGAATTTCGCTTTCGGTGGAAAATCTGGACGGGGGGTTAATGGTGGTGCAGCCCGAGGAGCAGACTGGTATCCATCCTGGGGCGCTTGTTGTAGAGTGTGTGGCTTGGGGATGGTGGATAGGTGACTTGGTTGGACTGGTTTGACGATGCGTGAAGTGTCGAGATAATGGGTGAGGGTCGCGTCTTCCTAGGAACTTTCCGTGTCGGGAAAAGGATAAAAAAAAGTTGGAGCAAAAGTAGGAATCCTTAGTTTTGATGTCGAGTGTTTGTTGCTTTGGGGATGACTTGGTGGGGATCAGATGAGACATGCCGTCGTTTCACTTCTCTATCTATCTTGTGGTGTATAGAACCGGGTGTGTGTGCGGTAGGATTTGGATATGTTAACCAACGGCGATGTGGGGGATTTGGTATCATGCTTTTTGTGCTTTTAGGGCTACTGAACCTAGAGGGAAGGCTGGTTGTAGGCATGACTGGCTTGGATTGACCGGCGGTTTTTGGACATGACGATGCTGTCTGTAATTCGAATGTTCACGGGCCCTCGATATACCTTGCCACAAATACCGATTCAGTGATGCAGATGACAGAAGGGTATAGTGGCCACTGGAACAGGAGTTCGGGTGTAGGTAGGCGGCTGGGGGCTTAGGTAGTCACCAAGAGTCTTGCCTATAGTCTATACGCCTGTACTATTATACTTCGGGAGGGAACTGGTTTCTGCAGAGAGTGGCTGGCCACTATATCCCCCTTGCGCATGCAGAGAAGATCAGGATTTCTGTGGGTATCAGCTGGGATTGTGCTTTTCTTGCGCATCAGAATTGCCACAGGGTTACTGACTCATTCCTGAAAACATCTAGCAGGCGCACAGCCGCACATCACGGCTCCAATGCGCGGAAGCCCTAAGGGAGGGAGCACGGTGGCCCGGTAGCTCGGGGAGGTCTTCCGGGAACGTAGGTCAAGAGAAGACTGGGGGTGGGGGCTTGAGCATGTGGAGAGGCTTCTGGGGATGGAAAAATCGAGTACTTGGGTGTGGATTGGCTGGGGAAAGAAGGGGAAGAAAGGGGAAGAAAGGGAGGGGCATGGGATGGGGATTGTTGCGATGATGGTTTGATTGGAGGGGGCCGGGCATGGCAGCAGGGGCGGGAAAAAAAGATAAAATGCTTTTTATCTGTTGGTGTTGGTGAATACTACTAATGGTGTTGATTAGGCCTCGCCACGGGTCGGGTTTGGGTCCAATATCAGGACCCGTACCTATAGGTTGGGTCTAAATCCTGGACCTAAGACCCAAACCCGCCAACCTGCAGATTGGATATATTAATCCGCAGATTATCTGCTAAAAATCTATTTAAATATAAAGTTTCTTTTTAGGCTATATTAAAATATATAAAAGTACTAAGTAATCTAATCTGATTTATATTTTTTTATTTTATATTAGTAATGAAATTTTATAATAGTAGTTTTTTGTTTAATTATTATATCTATATAAAATATATTTAAAATCTGATTTATACTAGTATAGGCTACTACTTTTATTTATAAAAATAACTACTAAAAATATTAAAATTAAGATATTAGTATTATTAGTAGAATACTTTTTATATATGTAAGGGCCCAAACAGCCCTTCCAACCTTCGCGGATATCCGCGAAGGGAAATGTATATAGACAACCTAAGGCGGTGGTCACGTGACGGCTAAGCAAGCCAGCTGCGGCCGCCCCTAAGGGCGGCAGCTGCCTTGCGAATTAGGCAAAGCAGCAACAACACCTTAAGGCAATACATTGACACCATACTATAGTTAAATATAAAAATTTTCTTAATCTAACTATAATCTGGCAGTCAGGTATAAAAATTCTAATTAACCTAATCTGACCTGGCTGTTAGCCACTCTATTAAATAGTAAAAATAATAGTATAGACTAGACAGATTTCTATAACTAGTTTTTCAATATATTCTTTTAGCTACTGATTTAGACTATTTTTAATTTTATAAATAAAATATAGTTTAAAAAGCTATAAATAGAATTAAAAGTAAATAAATAGTTAGTAAAGATTACAGATTATATATAATATAGTTAAAAAAAACAGTTAGATTATTAAAATAAAATAAATTAAATAGGTTAGACAGGTTAGACAGGTTAAATAGGTAGAACAGCTGGAATAGATGTATTAGATCTGCACTGTGACAACCAGCTATTAATATTTATTGATATTTTATAACTTGTGTTCTATCTGTAACACTGTCATTTAAGTAATATATGTTATTATATATAACTGAGCATTGTGCATATCTGCGCTGATTACTGTATCTCTATTTGCACCATGTTACCACCATATTTACACAGTGTTGAGCTCCCTGCAGGCGCCGGCAAGGTAGTTTCAAGCCACAGCTGACACTCACCCAGGTATCTACATGATCTCAACTGGTGGGTGCCTTAGTGTATCTCCACTGCCTGAGTGTGTCCTGTACACAAGGTAGCTGTGGCGGGTGCGGTGTCCGCCCTGCCCACAGCAAGTGTCTGCCAGCCGAGACAAAAAGTCTGGCGGGCGTGGGCTCGAGCGCTGGCCGCTCAGCAGTTCTATGGAGATAGCAAACATCAATCATCATTAAGATCAATTGAGTTGTTAGGTGTCACTTTTTGTCAGGTAACCTACCTTTTCCCTCCATCTTTTTTCCATCTCGCACCGCTTTATATACAGACTATACATAGACATCTAACTCACATGCACGGCTGGTATGTAAGCTTGCATATATTTATCAAGTTTCTGGTTCTATCGTTATCTTTCTATACAGGGATTGATCTGATAAAAGCCCTGTCGAAGGAGCCCAAGATACTAGATAGCACGGCCGAAAGGAAAACCCTGTTGTTGGTTATAATGTTGCTCATTTGCCAAGGGCACTGCAGTCAACAGTCAGGGCTGGGAGGGGCATAGCGCTCGTTGTACGGTGCCTGAGTAGCCGGCCAGGCATCAGCATTCGCGTGCCTAAGGCACCCTGTTACTTATGGCTAGGGCGATTAACCCAATAACTTACCGGGTAGGCCCGCTTCAAGATTCATCCGCCACTTGCAGTTGTCCTACCTTTACCCCCCCCCCCCCCCCATCACTATCCCCAAATTCCCCTCATCCAACTTCCTCCTGGTTCAGTATCTCAAGCTTCAACCCACATGGATCGCCTACCGCTCGAGGTGAAGCATATGCTCACCCAAGAGGTCAGTAGGCTTCGACGATATTTTAAACTTCTGCCCTAATTCACATCCCAGCTTTGCCAAGTGTCGCCAAATACCCTGCGGGCCTTATGGCAGGTGAACCGCCACTGGAACCAGATTGTAGCGCCAGGACTGTATAAAGATCTGATAATCCGTCTCCAAGCAAATAAACCCCCCCCAGCGAGTGTTTCAGCTCCTGAATGCCGACCTTATTCTACCGCATGTCCGACGTCTGACCCTTGTTGCTCGACACCCGCGGCTGGGCCGGATGGGCACTGACCGGAAACTGGTAGAATACCTTGCGGGGACTCCCGCGGACGAGTTCAACCTCCCGCCACTTGGGTTCTACCAGGGGGATTGGACCCCGATTATCCAACTCGTCCAGCAATTGGACTGTTTGCAGCAATGCAATCTCATGTTCCATGCCGATGACCTATCGGGGCTGCTGGATGCCCTGGCGGCGAAGCATCCCCTCTGCCGGGTATCAGTAACCCCTCTCTGTAATTATGCGCCGCCCACGGGCCTCGCGCGGGGGAAATGGATCCATTCTCCCATGCTGGATACCGTCCGGGTTCTCACGCATGAAAACCATAACGCGGGGCCTTATATCGAGCACCCGGACCGTGTTCTACGGGATCTTCTTCGACAAGCGACCCATATCAGGCGACTCGCATTGCAGATCATTGCTACCAGCAATTCGGAGTCGTGGGGTTGGTATCAACGCTGGCTGCACTCACAGCCGTCCGAGGGTGACGAGGCCATCGATGGCTCTGGGCGGCGGGCGCAACTCCAAAGTCTCTCGCTGCCGTTGACCAGCAAGCTGACTACGGAGCAATTTCGGGCCTGGTCGCGGGTGACTGATCTGAACCATCTCACCGCGTGGACTGCGGGCGGGATTGAGGATGTATCCCTGCTGGCGAGCATCGCGGAAGAGAAGCCCTTTCAACGGCTGCAGCGGCTGACCCTCTCCCTCCGTCCGCCCGAGAGCAACACAGCCTCCTGGTCATCGGGAGCGGTGCGGGCAATGTTTGACACGCTTCCGCCACTGGCCTATCTTTGTCTGCTGGGGACCTATGACCCGGGCTGGGTGCCGTCCGCCGTGCTGGACCGGCACGGCCCGACACTGGCGGAGCTGCAGCTGCACCTGCGGCCGCCCCCCTACCAGCAGTATGAGCTTTTTCGACTCACGCGGAACAAAGGCGGGCAGATCGCCCCAGTCTTTTCCGCCGAGGTCATCGCCCAGATGGCGACCCTCTGTCCCGTTTTACGGACGCTGCGGATCTGCGTGCAGCGTCACCGCGGTCACCCGCGGGAGACGGCCGCCTACGAGGCTCTGGGCCGGTTTCCTGCGCTTGAAACCCTGTATCTCCACCTGAACTGCTTACCCATCATGGTACCAGGTCATGGAACTCCCTTTCCGCCGCGGGAGCTGAGCGCCTACGAGCGCGAGCCCCTCCGGACCGCATCCCCCTGGAATGACGACGACGTTCCCAAGTGGACCGTCCGTGACGCTGTGATCAATTCCGCTTTTGACGAAGCGCTAGCCACGGCGATCTTCCGCCGGATACGCGGGGACGGGTCGCGAGGGCCCTTACGCCTGCTTCGCCTGCTCCCCGTCGCAGGCTGGTTCGAGCAATACCAAAGGCCCACAGGCATCACCGCTCGGGCACTGCTCGGGGGCGGGAAGTACCACGTGGAGATGGGTGGCGCCTGGTTGGTCAAGTGCGACGAAGCGCGCGATATCCAAGCAAAAAACCTCAAGAAGACCTCCCGCCGCGGCAAACAGAGCAAGCGGGAAATGCGGGCGGCGGATGTGGGGATATTCGAGTCGATCTGGCCCTCGCAGGAGGAGGAGGATCCATCGCAACCCAGGTTTTGGCCCCTGAAGTGGCAAAGCTGGCCTCTGCAGTAAGAGCGTCTCTTTGGGAGCGTTGCACGGAGGGGTTGATGAGACCGATTTACACGCTGTACACTTGGCCCTATGTGTACGTAAAGGTGAAAACGACAAGAAAAGAAAAGAAAAAGAAGAAAAAAAGAAAAATTGGAAATGAAAGCAAAAGGTCGCAATGAACTACAGGATCGGGATAGTGCATAGAGGTAAAGCAGGTACAGTATCCCTCACATAATTACCGTGGTGTTGGGTGGTTTACCCCGAGCAACCATGCAGCATACCACTCAGCGCAGCGGATCACCAGTGCCCTGTACTCAGGGTGAGCTCAGCACATACGTCCTTTGCAAGACCATCAAGCTGGATAGCCCATGAAGTCTGTCTCGGAGACCGTCTCGATAAAAAACAACATATGGTAGCAAGGAGCCATTCCCGCAGTGTCCTCATCCTCATCCTCATCCATATACACATCCTCACCCTCATCCATGTCCACGTCCTCATCATCCTCATCCTCGTCATCCGAGCTCTCGTAATGCAGGCCTGGGACATAGCAAAGCGCTTCGTTAGTCCAGATGCGAATTTTGGAAATCTTCTTCAGCCCGGTGATTTCATTGATATTGGACTGGTCTGCTCCCAGGGCCCCCTTGTGGTTGATCAAGATCCAGGCCTGGGGGTTCCCGTTGACCGAGCCTAGGAGGGCATAGCCCGCCTCGGATTCGACGCTGAAATCGGTGTAGCCCTGCCATTGATGGGCGGGGACCCCGCCCATGGCGCGGTCAATGACCGCGCGAGTGTCCAGGTTGACCACATTCATCTGGAAAATATACTGCAGCGAGCTGGCATCTACGCCCGCCGCTGCGGCCTCAGCTGCCCACTCAATCCACATTACATCGGACAACTGTTGAATCGCCGGGAGCTGAGATCCAGCCGGCCACTCGTCGGCCTCCATCTCTTCGACCTTGGTTTTAGGGCTCCATGCCAGGTCCACGATGATCGCCCCGGTGATGACATTGTACCAGCACTGATAATTCGCCTCGGTCGCCTGATTGGATTCTCGCCGTTAGTCAAGTGGAACCGGTCCCGCCTCCATGCAAGACACCTAAGACACCTACCGGATGCGTGGCGTCGATGGCCACCGAGTGCACCCAATTCACCACCTGGTTGTTGGCCGGGTTCAGGTTGAGTTCCGCCAGGATGTCCTCGCCCACATACTGTTCGAACTTCTCTTCCAACGCCATGTATGGGTTGGGGTCGATTGTCCAGCCGCTTGCCGTGAGCTGGGCCTGTGTCAGCGCGGTCGCCACCACGCTGCGATCACCCAGGTACACTTGTGCCATCGAATCAGACATCTCGCTCGCACAGGTCAGAGTCATGCCCTTGTCGTAGCATTTCTGGTAGTACTCATCACTGGCCTCGGAGTCTCGAAGGTGCCCAGAAGTCGATGTCCCGTGAGCTGTAGCAGCGCGGGCCTGAATTCGACCGCCTGGTCCGTTTATCACTCGGTAGACCGGCTGGAGCTGTGCGACAGCCCGATGTTAGTGGACTTCAACTTGTTTAACCAGCTGGACGATGTCGCGACGCATGTCAGCATTGCTGCCTGTACCGCCGACTTCAAGTCATCATCGTCTCTGGCTTCCTCGATTGCCAAACGAGGAACCTCCGATGACAGCAGCTGTTTCTCTGGCTCGGTCGGTCTCTCCACCATCACCTCTTCTGTGGAACTGGCTTCATCTGGAGATGTCTCCTCGACAGGTGCCGCAGACATCATCAATGCCTTGGAGCAAGTGCAGAACACGTTGGCCGTGTCCGGCTCTGGCTGCAAGGAAATGATCCGAATGGCCACTTCGGATCAAGCAGCAGTTGGTGTCTATGTTGGCTCGGGACTCGGTGGCCAGGGCGTCATCTCCTCGGTGCTGGACCAGTTGCTGACCGAGATCGACGACACTGGCAGCGTTGCCCGGCAGACTCTGGTTCAAGTCTGCGACAACTCCACGGCCAGATACTCCCTTGGTGTCTTTGCCAGCAGCACAGCAGACCTTGCTTCCGTGCAACGGGCGCTACAATCCTGGCGTAACAGCAGCTGTGTGAGTTCCATGGAGGAGACGATCCCGGCCTGGCAGACTATCACGTTTCTCGGCCCTTCTGCCCCGCAGAACTCTTCGCTGCTAGCCCCGACACCGCAGCAGAACTCGACGCTCGAAAATAACCACACATCGCTGGCTCCCCGCGAGCATCTGCATAGTCAGGGCCATGGTGGTTTCCGTTTGCACCGCGGTCTTTCTCATTCTCATCTGCACCGCGGACGAGCGGCCACCCAGCCACTGCAGGCGCGGGACGATACTGGAGAGTGCACTACGATTCAAGTCCAATCTGGGGACACGTGTACCACTCTTGCATCAGAATGTGGTGTCAGCGGAGCCGACTTCGACGCCTACAATCCCTCCGGTTCTACTGGTCGCCAGTCTCGAAGCCCGATGTTCCCATCCCTACCGCAAGCCCCCCTGATCTGCCCCCAATCCCCAGTGTCCCCTGCTTTACCCTGTTTGACATCTTCACCATTGACTGCCCGCCCGATAACGACAAGTCGCGCAAGACAGCCCACTACACGAGCGCCAAAGCATCCCCGACTTGCTCTCCAATACCGGCTAAGTCATGCGGTGTTCTCTGCACCTCCAACTGCGATGTCTCGTCTACCACCACCAGCCCAAGGACAACGATTAGCACCTCGACCTGCAGCGAGGCATCCACCGTGACTGACTATTGGGTCTCTTGCGGGGCGACCGCCTGCTCAACAACTAGCACAGCCAGAGTGACAGGTTGTGACGTGACCGCGACGACCACGACCACGGGCCGATACTGTCTGGCAACGGTCAGCGTCTGGTCAACAGACGATCAGGGCGAGAACGGGTCCAGTCGTACGCCGCCACAACCACCAAAATTCCGGAGGAGGTAGCCGTGGGAGGCACCACATACGTGGTAGGAGCCAGCGGACAGGTTACCCTGGCTGACGGCGACGTCGTCACTGTGCCCACTGAGACAGCGGGCACGACGGTCGTGACAGTGGGTGGCGAGATGTTGACCATGATCCCCGCTGAGCCGACAGTGATCACGGTGATTGTGACACCCATGGAGACCTTCACAACCTCGGAGACGTCGTCCTCATCCTCGTCCTCATCCTCAAGCACCAGCAAGGTGACTACGTCCACCACTAGCACGAACACAGCCACCTCCACCACCAGCAAGAAGACAACCACATCCACCACCAAGACCACCACTGCTCCTGCGGAGACCACTTCCGTCAGCTCCGAATGTGTCGGTGGCACCCTTGCCAACTGCTATTCCGAGCTCGAATCTCGCTGCTTTGGAGAGTGCACCTCGTGGCCCTTCCTGATTCGCATGAGTGCATTGAGAACTGCATCAGTGTGGTGTACGCAACCTGTGACAATTACTGTCCTGTTCTTTAACACTCTGTAAAGTATTTAGGTTGTTGTGAATACTATATTGAGAGTCTGAAACAACTAACTAAGGGGTCTAGTAGAGTAAAGTAGGGTACACAAAATTAGATCTAGATATCACAGTCCAATAGGCTTGTAAAATGGTTTGAAATTTTTAAATCTATTTTGTTCAATAATTTTTTATTACCTTTACAGAGAATATATTAAATAATTCCTAAGAATATAAAAATAGAGGTATAAAATAGAATAGAGTGGCTAAAAGCCAGGTTAGGTTAGGTTAATTAGAATTTTTATACCTAACTGCCAGGTTATAATTAGATTAAAAAAAGTTTTATATTTAACTATAGTATAGCTAAAAACTAAATAGTTAACTATTTTAATTATTTTTAGTACTAAAATATATCTACTACATCTTTTTTAGTTTGAGTATAGTCAAAATATATTTAGATTAAGTAGTTATTAATCTAGCTATCTAAAGTATTACTAAAAAATAAATAAAAAAAAACTTTTTAAATAAGATAAAAGTAACTTAAGAAAAATAGTATCTTTATTATTTATATTACTAAAGAATAATAAAAAAAATCCTAGTAGTATTAATAGAATTTAGTTTTTTATAAATTAGATGCTATTATAGTATAAAATATAAGAAAATATATAATTATAGCTTTATTTAAACTATATATTTTAGTTATTATATACTATACTATTAAAACTATATATTTATCTTTAATTAAACTACTAAAAATAATTATATAATTTTTAATCTACTTTTAATCTTTTTAATTTTAGTTAAGATAATCTATTAATTATTTTTTTTTATTTAAAAAAGCTAAATTATATTTTATAAATTAAAGGAAATGTCACCATCTATCGTCACGCTCCATCAAGTCTGGTGCGCATAGGAGAGATGCATAATGAGGTCCAGATATTTGTCAAATACCCCGTGGCAAATTTGACACACGGGAGGCCACGAGTCATCCCGATGCTCTTCCCAGCAATGCGCGGCGGCGTCATGGGGACAATCGCACAACTCCGCGCAAGTGGGAATAGGGCAGGGGCAGGGCGGCGGGTCCGCGCGGGTGTCGTCTCCGCCGTCAGTCCCCAGGACCGAGACGCCGCCGCAGCGGCAGGACGGATCGGGGTCGTCCTCGTGTGCCCGGTTGTGATGGTAGCGTATCTGCCCCTTGGTGTTGCGGATCCACCCACACGGCTGGCCCGTGGACGGCGGCTCGAAGATGCAGACGTACCGCCCGCTGATCGGGTCCTGCCGGTAGCGATACGACCTGTCCCCGATTACAGGATGGCGGGGAACGTACCGGTTGTGCTGTTGGGCGGCCGCCGTAGTCTGGCTGTCGGTGCGCCACAGGGTGCCGCACCGCGGGCAGCCGTATGCCAGCGGCCGCCCGCGGCCCATCTCCTTGTTGCGCAGCTGGTCCAGGCAGCGCGGATGGCAGCTCGCCTCGCACATCGGACACTGCTCCTGGTCCGGCGCCGACCGTTGCCTGCGCGGCGCCGCGGGCAGGCAACATCTGAGGCCGGCGGCGTCCGCGCCGCGGATCTGGCGCACCTCGAACGCCCGCCGCCGCACTTCGTCGGCCGTGTACGCTGCTGCCTCCCGCAGGTGCGGGTGGTATTCGGCGAGGCATTCGGCGTGGTTTTCGGCGTGGTTTTGGGCGCTTGCCTTGTCGTCGGACATGGTTCCTTACTGTGCTGCTTTCTTTTGGCTTGACTTTTAGTTCTTTAGGTCAGGTTAAGCGGGCGCACGATTCGAGTGGGCTTTTGGTTGAGGGGATGGGTTATGATACTAAGAGAAGGAGACGCGGTGGGAGACATCCCGCTGGTTCTTAAATACATGAGGTCTTGGTGCAGATTTCCTTGGTCAGGGGGGTAGATGAGGTTGTTTTGCGGGATCTGGAGCGGAGAACCTTTGCAAGTTCATTGTTGATGAGAGGGAGAGCTACCCTCTTGTGTGTGAGAATGGTTAGAGGGAGGTGTTTGGGTATAGGGGAGAGTGCCATTTCAGGTTCTGCTGTATTGGATTAGCCAAGTAGGCGAATATCTCCAGCAGGGAATCTCCAGCAGGGACCGTGTGGTCTTTGTCTATAGGAGATTGGTGCAGGGTGAACAGAGAAAATCCGCCTTGAGGCTCATGGGTCTGGTTCTGTGGCAGGGTCGCGCTGGAGTGATGGGCTGGTGGTGGAGGTCGCCGGTCTCTTTAGGGCGGTTTTCATTTACTGTGAAGTGTGTGGTTCGGGGGATTGAGCAAGATGCTCCGATTAGTTCTGGGGCTGGGATGTCCATGTAATGCGGTAGAGGTCAGAACCTGACTGATGGCTTTACAATTTTCTTTTAGGAATAGGAGAGTAGTGAAGAGTGATGGATTCTGACGATGCCACCACATTGATTTGGTGATGAAGACCTTCATCCACATCACTTTGCTGACTGATCGGCTTGTCTCTCTCAGGTGAATTAATGTCAATACCAGTACATTCTGTTCTCTTGCGGTTATTGTCCCGTGTGGCGATCAAGTGAAGGAAGCTGTGTTAGTTTGTGATCCGATTCTTCCTCTACCTTGCGAATCCAGTTTCTTACCTGCGGTAGTCGAGAGGAAAATGCGGTTCACAGATAATGCGCTTTAGGAAATCTCTGATGACAGGTGTGATGGGATGGGTGGAAAGTATGCCTGGGTTGTAGGGCGATGTAGGGCTCACCTGGTCAGGTGTTCCCAATGAGTTTCCGGCTCAGCCACTACCACTGCACATCAGGCAGCAGTTGCGTACTTTTCCGATTGCTTCCAAAATGACGATGAATGTCGAAGGATGCAGAGTCAGGGATCTGCTGTATTTGGTGATGTGATAATCTCTCCTGCACAAGATGTGCGTGTGCTGCGAATCGCACCAAGGATGTAGTCCATAGCAGCACAGACCTCAGCGTCAGCACATCCACCCCCTCCGGATCACTCGTGCAGTGGAACGGCTAGCTATCGAGGGGATCAACACCCATCTCTCAGCCGAAGCACGTTCAGCTGCCCCGCCACCGAGTCGCACACGTATCGGAATCGACGATAAGCACCAATGCATCTGTTCTGCGGAGATGAGCCTAACCGGAAGCCGCAGGGATTGGCGGTGGGGAGGAGCTCGCGAACGATGATCGTCGTTCGTCACACATACTTTAGACCCAGTCCTCCCTCCCTCCACACGCAGTGTCTGTGCTGAGCTAAGTTTCTCTCAAATTGAACATCGAAAATGGAGATGAAGGAAGAACCCACCACGGCTCGAAGCCAGATCGTGCTGTGTTTCGACGGCACAGGCAACACCTTCCGAGCCGATGGCACGGAGACGAACATCCTACGAATCTGCCGGATGTTGCAGCGCGGGGATGATCAACGTACGTCTCATACCCTATCCCTGGTTTTGAACTGCAATTGCAAAGCTGATAGAGATGTAGTGGTCTACTACCAACGTAAGCTCCCACCCCGACCCCACCCAGTCGAAAGCCCTAACTCCCCGGCAGCAGGAATCGGCACCACCATAACCCCCAGCTCCCTGGCCGCCACCCGACTCCAGAAAACCCTCACCAAAGGCAAAAGCAAAACCCTCAGCCAAGCCCTGGGCCAAACCTTCGACCAGCACGTGCTGGGCGGCTACCGCTTCCTCATGCGGCACTACCGCTCGGCCACCGACATCTACATCCTCGGCTTCTCGCGCGGCGCCTACACGGCTCTCTTCCTGGCGGAGATGCTGGACGCGGCGGGCTTGCTGGGCCCGGACAACGAAGAGATGATCCCGTTGGTGTGGGCGGCGTTCTCGCGGCTGAAGCTGACGCGATATCAGACGGCCGAGTCGCAGGAGAAGGCTGGTGCGTATCTACGGCACTGTCGCGAGACATTATGTCGGCCCGTCCGGCCGGTGAGGTTTCTGGGACTGTTTGATACGGTGAATAGTGTGGCGGAGTTTGAGGTGGTCAATGAGGGGCGGTCGAATGCGAGGGTGGTTAGGCATGCGGTCAGTGTTGATGAACGGCGGGTGAAGTTTCAGCCTGTGCTTTTGGGGGTTTATGGCAGGGGGGGAAGGGGGCGGAGGGTTGACAGGGTGTTAAGTGGGCTGGGTGATGGTGATGGTGATGGTGATGGTGGTGGTGATGCCCAGGATTTCGAGGAGGTCTGGTTCCCCGGCAACCACGCTGATATCGGGGGCGGGTTCCAGCGTGGACCGCAGGAGCGCACGCAGCTGAGCCATGTTCCGCTTGTGTGGATGGTGCAGGAAGCGCAGCGGGCCGGGCTGCGCTTGGATCGCGGGAAGATGCGGGAGTTGGGGGTCCTGGAGGAGGAGGAGGAGCTTGGGGAGGAGTCGTCGCGATTTGAGGCTGCGCTGGTTGAGTCCTGCACGCAGGGATTACTGCATTCATCGTTGGATACTGGCGACGGGGTCTCGCGGACGACGGCCTGGCTGTGGCGGTTCATGGAGTGGATTCCCATCCCACGGGCAGCGATGCAGAATGACGGCCGGTGGGCGCTGGTCCACTGGCCACCGCACCGCGGCGCCCCGCGCGATACGCCGCTGGATGCGAAGTTCCATGGCGCGACGATTCGGCGGATGAAGGCGGATCCCGTATATCGGCCAGGGAATGTGATTGTTGGGGGGAGGGGACGCAATTGTCGCCATGCTCCTCGGGGGTTTGGGATTGGGGAGTGGGATGCTTGTAGTGGTGGCGGAAGTCTGGCCAGGGAGATCTACATGAGGAGATTGCCGGAGCAGTCGTGAGCTGAGGAGTATACCTTGGTATAGGAGAAGATGTGTACCAGGTTTGTGTAGCTGTCCTGTATTTTTCTATTTTTCCTTGGGTTTTGTTTCTCAGACGAGAGGGAGCTAGGAATGATGCACAAGGCTGCTATGACTTGAATCTATCTTACAAATCAAACGAGATGTCTCACTGAAATCTGACATCCGATCATCCACCCACGGGTCCTACCGCAATAATTGGGTGCCAGGTCTTCATCCCCTGGCGTGTGGCTTGACCTTATCCAGAACACGCTAAAGACCCTGAGAATCACGGCAATAAGCGTGTTGGGTTCCCGGCCTTAGCCCGGAGACCGGGTCTGTCTGCCTGTTGATTCTCGATCTTCGGCCATGTCCGCGATCTAGGAATATTTAAATAGCCCGAATGGATCCATTTCCCTGTCTGTATATCCTCATACTTCATTCGAAATTTCAAGATAGCACCGTTTGCCATTCCAACCAATGCCCTCAATCAAGAACGTGGCCCTAGCAGGAGTAAGCCCTAACTCCCCGCAGCTCCCCCCCAAGCCAACGCCCAACCTAACAACCCCTAGGCTAGCGGCAACGTAGGCAGCCAAGTGCTGAACGCCCTGCTCGCCCAAAGCTTCACCGTCACTATCCTGACGCGCAAGCCTGCAACCGCAACCGCAACCCCCTTCCCCGCCGCAGCCACCGTCAAGCAAGTCGACTTCACCTCTCCCGCCTCCCTCACCGCAGCCCTAGCAGGCCAAGACGCCGTAATCGACACGACCTTTTCCCCAGAAATCGACACCCCGCTCCGACTCATCGACGCTGCCGCCGCAGCCGGCGTCTCTCGTTTGTTCGTCCTTGCCCTTCAACCCCCCATCAAACCACCCCAAACCTCTCCCCCCAAACTAACCACTCAGGACAAACAGCATAACAAGCGACTTCGGCCTTGACCCCACCAATCCCGGAATCCACGCCCTCCCCGTCTTCGCCCGCAAAAAGGCTGCCTACGAAGCCGTGCAACGCCACGCCGCCGCCTCTACACTAACCTACACCGTCGTCGCCTGCGGGGTCTTCCTGGACTGGGCGCTAGCCTCTGGGTTCGCAGGGCTGGACCTCACAGCCCGGAAAATTCGAATCTTTGGGGACGGGGACAACGTCGTCCCCTGGACGACGCTGGCGGATGTGGGCCGCGCCACGGCGGCGGTGCTGCTGCACCCGCAGGAGACGCGCAATCGGGTTGTGTATGTGCATTCGGTTTATTTGTCTCAGAGGGAGTTGGTGAGGGTGGTGAAGAAGGTGCTTGGGGCGGAAAGGTGGGAGGAGACAAGGGAGAGGGATATGCGGGGTTTGATGGAGGAGGCGGTGGCGGATCTTAGGGAGGGGCGAGGGGTGACGGCTGCTACGTTTGAGGTGCAGATTCAGTATTGCGTGGCTACGCGGGAGTTGGCGCATCCGTGGGAGAGGGATGATAGTGCGTTGTTGGGGGTGAGGGAGTGGGGGGTGGAGGAGGTGGAGGTGTTGGTTGGGAGGGTTGCGCGGGGATTGTGAGGGTGAGTTAGGGTTACGACTTTGAAGTACTGGGTCCTTTGAAGGGGGGGGGATTAGGTATGAATATCTCTTCTCTGGATATTACCGCTAACGTTTAACATCTTATTCCAAGCGTAGATATACATCTGCCACAGTATAGCTAAAACAAGTATGTCCACTACCGTCAATTCCCTTCCTTCTCGTCTTCGCCGGCAGATAGACTCCCAGCGCCCTTCTCCCTACTCTCACACTGACCTTTTTCCTCCCCTTTCCCATCCCCTTCACCCTCAACCTTCAAAGGCAGCCACCGCATCCCCACCGGCAAAAACACTGCACTCGCCAGCGTCTGTGTCTATCGCGGCGAAGATCAGGAATATTACCCCCTTAGACGATGAACAGGGCCATTTTGCGAGCATTCACCCGAAACCAGAGGATTTAGGTGTCTCCGATGCCTTGGAACGACTGTACAGTGTCTGCGAGAATCTGGGGCATGTGGCTTGAAGCCTGGTGGAGTCACGGAAATTCACTGATGTCGAAACCCCTGGCAAGCTGAAGACTGACGAAGGCTCTCCACGAGCGCGCGATGAGGGGCGGACATCCCCTGAGCTGCCGTCGCTTCTGTCAGAGGCTTTGGAGGCCGAGTTCTTGAAGTATCTCACCCACCTGGAGGTACGGTATTTTTCTGGTGTCTTGAATAGTTGGGATACGGGAATTTCTTCCTCCGTCATGGATCTGCTAAGAGTTGATCATAGGTTCTATGCATGTTTGTGACGGTGGTCCTGCGGCCTCGCCCAGGCTGCCGCTCGCCGCCCACCTCGGTGGCCTTAGCTAGTAGTTTCTCGCAGATACTAGCCTGAGATAGTCAGGATTCCAGCATCTTCCACCTTTCGCAGGTGTTATCAGTTTGCTTTACTTAGAGCAAATCCAAATTGCACCCAGCACAAGCTTTCTGGATTGCAGGCGCTCGTCGCGGCTTCCAGATCCACCAGTGTACAGTACTAGCAACTATACCATGCCCTAATCCGCGCGGCCCTTGAACTTACATTCCTAGGCTTGAGGAGACCAGACCGAATTCAACCCCCAATAAAGGATAAAGACTAAGATGGCACACGACTTATATCACGGCGACGATAACACCGACGCAAATCAACGAACCAGCCCCACGCGCGTCCCATTCCGCGAACACAGCGTGAGCCCCCGACTTTCCTCCCACGGCCCGGGATCCCGACTCTCCAGTCCACGAAACTCCTGCACCATACGCACCAGCACGTAGCTCGCCTCAGTCAAGGCGTATCGCTGACCAATGCAAATCCGCGGCCCGCCGTTGAATGGCAGATACCCCCAGCGCAGCCGCAGCTGGAGCCTGCCGTCCTCCCAGCGCTCAGGGAGGAAGTCGTCGACATCATCCCCGTAGAGATCCGCGCGACGGTGCATGGCGTAGAGGTTATAGCTAACGAGCGTGCCCTTGGGCACGAACGCGGGGGAGAGGCCGTCGTCGCCGCCGCCGAGGGGGAGGACGGTGTCGCGGATGGCTTCGCGTTGGTTGCGGGGGACGACGGGGTGGAGGCGGAGGGCTGGACGTTTTTCAGTTAGCTCTAACCCTACAAGAAGCGAACAAAGGGAAGCAACGTACACTCTTTGATACAGCACTCCACAAACTTCAACCCCTGCAGCTGCTCATAGCTCGGCGGACGACCCTGCAAGCTCTCCACCTCGCGGCGCAGCCTCGCCCAGATTGCGGGGTTCTTGGCGAGCATGAAGAACAGATTCCCCAGCAGACTGGCCGTGGTATCGCGTCCGGCCAGCAGCACCGCCATCAGCTCGTCCAAAATGCGCTCTCTATCCGACGTGCGCGCCGCCAGTTCGTGCGAGAAGATGCGCTTACCCTTGGGTTTACCTGCCTCCACCCGGTCCACATCCCCTGAACTGCCATCAGTCTTGCGCATCTCGACCGCCCGGATCGCCTCCTCCACAAACACGCGCACAAAATCGCGGCAGCGCCGGTTACACTCCTCGGCCTTGCGATCGCGGTAAACCGCATTCAGCCGGCCCAGGGTCCCGCGCACCAGCACCGCCTTCTGGGCATACTGGAACGCCTCCGCGAAGCTCACCTGCCCCTCCTCTTCGCGACTGTGATCAACCGGCGTCCGGAGGGTATGCACCGACTCCCCAAACAGAAACCCGGTCGCGGAGTCGATCGTATACTTGAAAAACAGTTCCTGCAGATCCACCGTGGCTCCGTCGCGGGGCAACACGGCCAGCAAATCCTGGAAGAGCGCCTCCAGCACCGCCAGGTCGGCCACGACCTGGTCGCGCGCGAAGCTGGGGCGCAGCAGGGCGCGCGAGGCCGCCCAGTGCGCGCCGTCGCTGTTGAAGATGCCCTGGCCCAGCAGCGGGCGGAAGGGCTCGGTGCGGTGGCGCAGCCCGTAGTCCTGGAAGTTGACCGACAGCACCGTCTTGATGTTCTCGGGCTCGATGGTCAGGATGATCCGGTGTTGGAGCTCGCGCGTCGTGAAGGTGTGCCCGTACTGTGCGAAGAGCTCGCGGCCGCGGGCGAGGATCCGGTGCGCGCGGATCGCGCGGATCGTGCTGGGGAGCGTGTCGAGCCCTAAGATCGGGTCGCGGTTGAAGGCCCGCGCGATGGGGCGGCAGCCATATTGTCGGGCGTGGTGGCGGCGGCGGAGGGTGCCGTGGACTGTGCTGAGGAGGTGGATGGTGGTTATGGCTAGGGCTGCGAGGATGAGTATTATGAGTTTAGGGGGGAGGGCCATGGTTGCTACGGTGGAGATGGGGAGAGTGGATGGTTGGGATGCATGGTTGTTGCGGTCTAGGCAGAAGTTATAGTTGGGTTGGGTCACGTGGGAGAGTTGGTCGTAGTCTTAGCAGGCTCTGGTATAGACGAGGATCAGTGTTGGCCCATTATACTCTGTCTGACATTACGTTAAACCGTCGTATTGGAATCGAAATCAAGGAGAAGATGGATGTTCAATGCAGGAATGTCAGGAGTTCTCTGCGATTGTAAGCTTTCTAAGTAGATTCCATGCATGTCCACGATTTGCTCCTAATGATCGGGGTGCATAGGGTAGCACAATCAGAATTGGCGTTGTGTTTTTGGAGTTAGGCACCACTAACAACACTTTGAAGGCGTGATAAAGTATGCGCCCCGTGGTAGCTTTGATACTGCACAGCCCCGTGGCCGAAGGATCGAGCTAGAACAAGCTTATCATTTACAGGAGGAATCGCTCCTATAGGACCCAAAACAAAACGTTGTGGTCAGCAAGAGAGTATCCAACCGTATCGGAGAGCACTATCAAGCTAGAATTTTTGGACAAACGTAGTACTGTGATACTGTTGAGAGATTACTTGGTGTGATTGGGCTTGAAATACATCAACAAGATTACACCAATACTCACTTTTTCTTGGCTGAGCCCTAATTTCTAGAAGCTAGAATAGACTCTGAACACGGGGAGTTGTCAGAGGTTCCTTTGGAGTTTGATAGTAGAATTAAGCCTCGTTTCCAGGCTCACTAACAACTGGCAAGACTCGCATCCCAGCGATGGTATTCCATTTACCTTCCTGGACTTCGTGTCAAGAAGCCCTAATCTACAAACGAAGCACAATCTTGCCCACCTGCTTCCCCTGCCAGATATACTCGACCGCCTCCTCCGCCTCCTCAAACGGAAACACCGAGTCAATCAGATCATCCAGTCGAACCTGCGTCGCCGCCAGCGCCGCACAGAAGTCCTCCGTATCAAACTTCGATCCGGCATTAATACCCCTACCAGCGAATTAGCCAATCGCTCCGCATCCACTTCCCCCCAGAATCCAACTCACCTCAAAACCACCCGCCGATCGATAATAACCGGCACCAACTCCGCCAGATCCTGCGCATTCTGCTTCCCCAGATACCCGACTTGGCTGACGATCCCGCCGCGCCGCGTGCACTTCATCGACCGCACCAGCGAAGGCGTGCCCCCGTTCTCGACCACGATGTCCACGCCCACCCCGTCCGTCAACCGGAGCACCTCCTCCTCCCACGCCGGAATTTTGGCGTAGTTCACCGTCAACAGCGGCGGATCCGCATACTTCTGCCGCATGGCTGCGAGCTTCTCATCGCTCGACGAGGTCAGGATCACGCGCAGGCCCGCCGCGCGCGCAAGCTTCAGCGCAAAGACACTCACGCCGCCGGTCCCTACAGCCCCCCCCCAACCGACCAAAGATTAGCTTGCTAGCCCTACTTATCTCCCGAGACGATAAAACAAACCCTGAATCAGCACCGTCTGCCCAATGCTCATCCCCTTGAGCGCAGACCACGCCGTCACACCCGCGCACGGGATCGTCGCCGCGCTCACCCAGTCCAGATACGCCGGCAGCTTGACGACCACCCGCGCGTCGAAGACGACGTGGTCCGCCATGACCCCGTCCTCGTCGGCCGCCAACCAGCTGCGGCCCGGCTCCCGGCCGGACACAAACTGCGTGTCGATGATGGGAGCGACGCGGTCGCCGACGGCCAAAGTGGTGACTTTGTCGCCCGCGGCGAGGACTTCCCCGGCGGCGTCATTGCACAGAATCCCGTGCGGCAGGACGGGCCACGGGTTCCCGCCGTTGGCGATGTTGGCGTCGCGGTAGTTGAGGGCGATGGCGTGGATTTTGATCAGCACGGAAGTTGGGCCTAGGGGCGGGAGGGGTTCGTTGACGGCGTAGAGTTTGGCGGTGCCCGGGGTGTAGTCGTCTGTGCGGCGGAAGGCGCGCCGGGTGGTGGGGAGTGTGGAGGGCATTATTTGGGTCGGTGTGAGGGGGACTCCGTGGAGGTGAGGTTGTCGAGAACAGCGTGGGAAAGGCGGGAGGGAAGTGAGGATTTATGGTGAGGATTGATGCCCCCGCATGGATGTGGGACGGAAGTAAACAGGGTCGAAAAAGATGTGGAGTTGGTTACACGTCATTCCGATGCCAGAACGCCCTTCCCCAGAATTCCCGATGTTTCTCTACGAGCTGAGAGTGGAGACCAGTGAGACTCTGAGAATCTGGGCGTGAGTGGAGAATGAAAGGCATCAAGTTAGGGCTAAGGCCGATCGGGTAATGAGATCCGTCCATCTTACCCACCAATCGATCTACCTTTCTGCACAACCCATGTAGTCGGCGGGTAATCCTACTGGAAATAGTACATAATTCGAGATCTTGAAGATAGCAAGTTGTCTCACTTGACGTACGATACCTCATAGGCAACCATGTGGGACAATCCCTATTGCGGTATGGAAAATGAGAGCCATCTCGAGGTGGCCTCGCCTCGCCGTTTGCGGCTTCCCCACCCCAGAGGCTCCTTGCATATGCCTATCTCCCAGAAGCGTGTGGCGTCGCTGCAATCTATACAACAGACCGGTCTCGAAGCAATTTATAATGCTGGACACCTCCCCTATGCGCACAGGTTTCTGGTGCCCTCTTACCTAAGAGTCCTCCGCACAAAATCCCTCACCCTTCCGATATCACCCACGCAGCAATATGTCGGAAGACAAGATAGACCGCAAACTAGAGGAAGCCCTCGAGGCCGACGTGCAGGCCTGCCCCGTGGAGCCCCTCGCGCCACAAGGCCTCCAGCGCCGACTGAACAACCGCCAAACCCAACTCCTCGCCATCGGAGGGTCGATAGGCACCGCCCTGTTCATCAGCATCGGCAACGGGCTGGCCGCCGGCGGCCCCGGCAGCCTGCTGGTGGCCTACACCCTCTACGCCCTCGTAATCGCGTGTATCAACAACTGCGTAGCGGAGATGACGGTCCTCCAGCCCGTGTCCGGCGGCTTCATCCGGCTGGCCGGCAAGTGGGTCGACGACGCCCTGGGGTTCATGGTGGGCTGGAACTTCTTCTTCTACGAGGCGCTGATGATCCCCTACGAGATCACCGCCATCAACCTGGTTTTGGGATACTGGCGGGACGACATCCCCGTGGCGGCAGTCTGCGCCGCCTGCATTGCTCTTTACACGTACGCCCCGAAGCCTCCAAGACTGCTACTAACCCACCACGACCAGCATCCCCACCCCACCCCCACGAACCCAACACTAACACCAGACACAGGGCGATCAACTTCCTCGCCGTGCGTGCCTACGGCGAGGCCGAATTCTGGCTCTCGAGCGGCAAGATCCTGCTGATCTTCACCCTGATCTTCTTCACCTTCATCACCATGGTCGGCGGCAACCCGCAGCACGACGCCTACGGCTTCCGGTACTGGAACCACCCCGGCGCATTCGCCGCATACCGCCACACCGGTGCCGCTGGCCAATTCGAGGGCTTCCTCGCCGCCCTGTGGTCGGCGGCCTTCACCATCGTGGGACCGGAGTACATCTCCATGTCAGCCGCCGAGGCGCAGCGGCCGCGCACCGTCGTCAAGGCGGCTTTCAAGACCATCTACTGGCGGTTCGGGCTGTTCTTCGTGCTGGGCGCCACCTGCGTCGGCATCGTCGTGCCCTGGACCGATCCCACGCTGCAGGCGATCCTGCACGGCCAGAGCAGCGCCACCGGCGCCGCCGCCTCACCCTACGTGATCGCCATGGCCAACCTCCACATCACGGGGCTCCCGCACCTCGTCAACGCCCTCCTGATCACCTCCATCTTCTCGGCCGGCAACACGCTCACCTACTGCGCCACGCGCTCGCTGTACGGCCTCGCGCTCGAGGGCCGCGCGCCGCGCGTGCTCACCAGGACCCGCAACGGCGTGCCCGTCTACGCGTTCGCCGTGGTCATCTGCTTTCCCTTCCTCTCGTTCCTGCAGCTCAGCAACAACTCCGCTAAGGTCCTCAACCTCCTCGTCTCGCTAATGACGGCCGGCGCGTTGATCGATTTTCTGGTCATGTGCATCACCTATCTGCAGTTCTACCGCGCGTGTCAGGTGCAAGGGTTCGACCGCGCGAGCTTGCCGTATGTCGGGTGGGGTCAACCGTACTGCGCGTGGATCGGGGTCGTGGGCATGGTGTTCGTGCTGCTCGGATACGGGTATACGGCGTTTGCGCCGTGGGACGTGCAGACGTTCTTTGAGAATTATACCATGCAGATCGTGGCGCCGGTGCTGTTTTTTGGGTGGAAGTGGGCCAAGGGGACGACACTGCTCAAGGCTGAGGAGGTGGATTTGGTGTGGGAGGCGCCGGTGGTGGATGCGTATGAGGCGGGGTTTGAGGGGCCCATGCCGGGGTTTTGGGAGGAGGTGGTTGGGTTGTTGTGGCGGGGGAGGAAGGGGAGGGGAGTGGAGGTGTGAGGTTTGTTACTCGTTGATCGAGGGTTTGAGGTGGGATATTATGACAGTGCTTGTGGTCTCTGGCGTGGATATGTTGGCATTTGCGCTGCTGTTTGGGCTAGCCCTATGTTTTGCTCTCTGGCCTCCGATACACTCTCAACAGACAAATATCACGCTTCCTTGCCAGATGTATTCTCTTTACTCATAATCATAGATCCAGCTTGGGTATCATGCCAGCAGACATACGGTAACTACAACCACGGTGACAATCTGTACGGAGTAACGTTCTCGGTGTCTCTGAGGAAACTACTCGGTCCACTGACTCAATGTCTAGCACCTCTACGGAGCGGAGATGTGATCTACAAAGTATTAGCATTAGCGTCCAGAGCAGTGCGCTTCATGGTAAGACTCACATCCGATACACTTTTCTCAGTTGGCAAGCAAAGTTATGTCATGTTGGTCAGGAAAGTCACTGGACCAAAGACTAACTAACTTAAGATGAGATGTGATGTTATGCCTTCCCCTCGGAGAAAGCAAGCTTACCCCGCGTATCTCCGAAGCAGTACACTCTTAGTCCTGTCTAACCGAATCAGGCGTGTTTGATGAGCGCCAGATGCATGCTGCAGATCCACTTGTAAGCCCCCCATCACCCACTCACCCCTCCCACCCCCCGCACGCATACTCTTATCTCGACATCAGCAGCAAGATAACTCCCCCCTGCCACACTCGACCACACCTTCAACGCAGAATTCCAGCTCCAACACACAGCTCAAACCACCGCCCACCATGTCCACACCCATCTCCCCCACGACAACCCACACCGGCACCTGCCTCTGCCGCGCCATCCACTTCACCGTCACCGGCGCCCCCACCGCTGTCTACTGCTGCTACTGCCGCGACTGCTCCCTCGGCGCCGGCGGACCCTGCCAGATCGTGAGTCCCTGCCCTACCCTACCCTGCCCTGCCCCCCCCCCCCCTTATCTCATCCCATTCCCATCACAATCCTCTCCCCCAATAAGATCCCCTAATAATCCAGACCGCACGCTACCCCCGCTCGCACTTCACCCTACACGACACCGACAGCCAACTACGCACCTACGCAATCACCGATACGACGAGCGGGGCCCCCAAACACAAGTACTTCTGCGGAAGGTGCGGGTGCACCGTCTACACTGTCCCGCGCGCGACTGAGGGCGGCGGGGTTGTGGTGGTGCGGCCGGCGTTGATTCCGGATGGGTGCGTTTCTTTCCGCGTAGAATGGATTGGGCCTGTATGGTATTGACAGGAATGTAGGTTGGAGATCTTCTCGCCGCAGATTGAGTGTTTTACGAGGTGTCGGCCGGGGTGGTTTGCTGGGTGTGAGGGGGTGGAGGAGGGGTTTGAGGGGAGTTCGAGGGCTTAAAGGGGTCCGGATGGGTTGGATTGGAGTTGGCAAGGGGGGTGTTGGGGGCGGAGACGTGGGGATGGAATCAGGAACTTTGACAATGAAGGGGTATTTCCTCATCGCATACGTTACACAGATTGAGCCGGATCAGGTGCTGCATTGTCCTAGTATTGGCGGACACGGGGGTGTGCTCCTGGGCTGTTGATGGTCACTCGCAGCGAGGTGATTGAGCAAATAGACTGATGGCAGGCACTTGCCGTTACAAGGCTTCTTCGATTTACATGATGAAAATTCGATGGATTTACCCCGCAATAGTCTATCGAGATACTGTAATGCCCAGCTGGAGTGACCAATACCCTAGACGAATGGCATATCAGGTCCAGTGGCGCAGTGCGGGGTGCGGTAGATAAGCGCGGGCTCTCATTTTTGACACTGCACTCGGTCTAGCGTCCAACACCTATCCTTGAGGAAGGTATATCAATAACGGACTACAAGTGTTAGTTATCCCAAACGAGCAAGGCATTCGCGACTCGAGACACAGGCGGATTGTCTACCCTTTCGGGAGTCCGGGACCGTACGCGGCGGCGCCTGTGGACAGCCAAGCCCTAAAATCACCCCCCGTTTTGGAGAACACAGTATATACATGCCCAGGATCCCAGCTAATCACCGCCAGAAAATATAAGACAGTCCGTCCGGGCGACAAATCAGACCGCCAATGCAACACATCGTCTCCCCTTCCCTGCTTCAACCCAACCATCGCTGACCCCCGAAGATGGCCTCCCTCACAATCGCCCGCATCGACGTCTACCAAGTCGACCTCCCCTACGCCGGCGGCGTCTACCACCTCTCCGGCGGCCGCACCTACACCAGCTTCGACGCGACCATCGTCCGCATCACGACCAACACCGGCCTCGAAGGCTGGGGCGAAAGCACCCCCTTCGGCGCGACGTACATCGCCTCCCACGCGCGCGGCGTGCGCGCCGGCATCGCCGAGCTCGCGCCGCACCTCCTGGGCCTGGACCCACGCCGCGTCGACCGGATCAACGAGGCGATGGACGCCGCCCTAGTCGGGCACGCACACGCCAAGACCGCGCTCGACGTCGCCTGCTGGGACGTCTTCGGCCGATCCGTCGGGCTGCCCGTGTGCGAGCTGCTGGGCGGTCGCACCGACACCGCCATGCCGGTGATCAGCTCGATCCACGTGGGCGAGCCGGCCGAGATGCGGCAGCGCGTCGCCGACCACCGCGCCCGGGGGTACCTGGGCCACTCGGTGAAGGTCGCCGGCGACGACCCGGCTGCCGACGCGGCGCGGATCACCGCGTCCTTGGCCGATCGCCAACCCGGGGAGTTCTTCCTCGTCGATGCGAACGGCGGACTGACGGTGGAGACGGCGCTGCGGATGCTCCGGCTGCTCCCGCCGGCGCTGGACTTCGTGCTCGAGGCCCCCTGCGCGACGTGGCGCGAGTGCGTCTCGCTGCGGCGGCGCACGGACGTGCCCATCATCTTCGATGAGCTGGCCACGGACGATGCGTCGGTGGTTCAGCTCGTGGCGGACGATGCCGCCGAGGGCATCGGGTTGAAGATCTCCAAGACCGGCGGGTTGACGCGCGGCCGGCGCCAGCGGGATATCTGCCTCGCGGCCGGGTATACGGTCAGCGTGCAGGAGACCACGGGGTCGGATATCGCGTTCGCGGCGATCGTGCATCTGGGCCAGACGGTGCCCGAGCGGTATCTGCGGTGTGTGCTGGAGAGTCGCGATATGGTGGCGCTCAAGACGGCGGATGGGGAGTTTGAGGTGCGCGGGGGGAGGATCTCCGCGCCCACGGGGCCGGGGTTGGGCGTTACGCCGCGCTTGGAGGTGTTGGGCGAGCCGGTCGCGAGCTACTTTTAGCTTCACTGCAAAGCAATGCCTTAGTTTATTGATTTGACCCTAAGACGGACGTTTGTGGAATGATCGCCCCAGTATTGATGTTTAAGATGGGGCAACAAAGACACAGCGGGATTCGCACCCACTTCCCAAACCTAGTGAATTAGTATTCAATTACCTGCGGACTAATCCCAGCCAACAAAGTCTTCCTTTTCTTCATTGAACATTCAGCACTTGAAGTATTGTATAGAGTATGACTGCTTTAGAGCAAATACGATAACGATCATTGCCTCTGCATTCGCACTGGGATAAGGAAAAACCTCTTCTTCAGGGGCAAAAACCCTACCGAGGCCTATAAAGAGACGCGTGAGGTTGAGAAACGCAGTCCGCCCATCCAGAACTGCAACCTGCTTAAAAGATGATATACTGGAGTTATACAGGTAAGGAGCGTCAGTTGACTCCGGTAGTTCTTGATTCAAGGTGTGAAACGCAATGTGAAATGTGAGCAGTAACGGGGCCGCGCCCCCTGTTAGAGTCTTTTCAGTAACCACACAGCCCCGGCTCCAGGCCTGTACAGACCGATATGATCAGACACGCTTTTGCCTGTGAAGTCATAAGCGAAAGCTTTGTCTGCGCCTGATTTCAGGTCATAGCCACCAATCCCTCGACCGGGATCGCCTTCTTGATATACCGGGATAAACTGATTAGACCTGTTTTTCAGGATCCACATGGTCCCAGTTCCGGGCCTATAAAGGGTGATGTAGTCAAATTTCCCGTTGTGCTCGTAGTCCACTGCAAATACACGGTCGGCAGTGGATTTGAGATCATAGCCGCCAATACCTTGTCCTGGAGCACCCTGCTGGTATACAGGGGAGAAACGACCACGCTCGTTCTTCAGAATCCAGATCGTACCCGTTCCGGGCCGATAGAGAGTAAGATAGTCGAGCTTTCCGCTGTGCTCGTAATCGAATGCAAATGCACGGTCCGCGGGAGACTTGAGATCAAAACCACCAATGCCGCGTCCCGGAGCACCCTCCTGATATACCGGTGTAAACTGGCCATGGTCGTTCTTAAGGATCCAGATAGTACCAGTGCCGGGTCGATAAAGAGCAAGATAATCAAGCCTTCCACTGTGCTCATAATCGAATGCAAATGCACGGTCCGCGGGAGACTTGAGATCAAAACCGCCAATGCCGCGTCCCGGGTCACCCTCTTGATATACGGGTGTAAACTGGCCATGGTGGTTCTTAAGGATCCAGATTGTGCCGGTTCCAGGTCGATAAAGCGCAAGGTGATCGAGCTTTCCACTATGATCATAGTCAAATGCAAACACATGATCAGCTGTAGACTTTAGGTCATAGCCCCCAATGCCGTTTCCCGGATCACCCTCCTGGTATACAGGAGTAAAACGGCCTTGATCATTTTTCAAAATCCAGATTGTGCCGGTTCCGGGTCGATAGAGAACAAGATGATCGAGCTTTTTATTATGTTCATAGTCGAATGTGAATACTTCATCTGCAGGTGACCTGAGGTCATAACCACCGATTCCAGATCCCGCTCCTTGAGCATAGACAGGCTCGAATGCACCTGGGGCCATGTTTTTGCTCGCGTGGTATGCACTTTTGTCAAGTTAAAGAATATACGGAGAGGCCTAATTGCGTACAAAAGGCTTCCTGGGCGAATGAAGAAAGGCTTTTGGATTGAAATCCAGATTCGTAGATGAATTCTTGAGCGCTTTGACTCTTGAGCACTTTAGAGCTATATACTGCCCCCCGACGTGGCGAATCCTGAGCTCGAAGCTCTTCGTGGGAGATGAAATCAGCCCCCTACGTCAAACGCATACCTTAACCGCATTGTAGAAACCCCATGACCACTATCACAATTGCATCTTCTCGCAGTACACCATTGAGAAACACGTAGTCGCACCTAGAATCTCGTGTTCTCTGAGTGTGTTGATGCGCTCTCGAAACCGCAAACGGGGATGCAGAAGGACGGAATTGATCTTTTAGGCTCACCAGCTTGTGGGGTGTACATTCAGCTCGGAGGTTAGATGGCATCAACGCCGCTCGAGATACACGGGGGTGGTTCCTTCGTATTGTTCAATTTAGAGTTTCTTTCTTCAATTGCATGATGACATTTTATATTGGTTCGCGTGCTAAAAGACCGTGGTGTCTGTAGAAACGGGAATACGAGCCTAGGTCTAGATTTCGATAGGTAATCTAGGTTTAGCGTTGTATATAGTATGGTTCCAGGCAAAACGGATTCGCTCACACCTTCATTTCATTCTTTGTTGTGGAGCCCCACCGCGGCGCCGAGTTACGGGCTCCAGCTTGGAACTTTGATTTTGTGATCAAGCACTTGCTGGTATTGCTTCAGTCTCTTCTTTCGTCGATTCGATGATTGGTTATCCTACATCAATGCAGCCCTCCAAAATGGGCTTATCGTACTCTAGTCATAGACTTGAAAGCTTGCGTATGCTTATGTCAAAGGACCAGTTTTTAGAATAGTCTATCCCTTACTACATCAAGTTCGTGTTCCTTCGTATTCAATTGGTTTTAGTGAGTGACGTGACTTCAAAGTTATCCTCAAGCATGGACAGCATACTTAAGCATATATAAATCTAGCTTATAGGTTATTGGGTAAGAACCTTACTACGGAACCAGTTTTTACTGTATACTAAATACAGTGATATAGCACGGGCCGGACCTTTTCGTCTATGAGATGTGAAAAGGTTCCGCCACATTATAGGTGTCAAGGGGTAGAAATGGAAACAGGTATCCATAGCGATGGGTGTGGAATAGATGTACTTCTCATGTATTGTCCTGGCTGGCAGTCAGGATACTAGGATTCTTTGATGAGCTGGCCACGGACGATGCGTCGGTGACTCAGCTTGTGGCGGACGCATTTAGTTAAAGATCTCCAAGACCGGCGGGTTAATATGCGGCCGGCGGCAGCAGGATATCTGCCTTATAATAAAAATATATAGCTAATATATAAAAAACTATAAAATTAGATATTATATTTATAGTAATTATATATCTGGGCTAAATAGTGCTGCAGTAGTATCTACAGTATATACTAAAAAGTTGTAATATAGTAGTACTTAAAATAGCAGATAAAAAGTTTAAAATATATAGGGGTAGAATCTTTGTGTCTACAAGGCTGGAATTAGATACTACACTGTGCTTGGAGATGTTGGGCGAGCCGGTTGCAAGCTAATTTTAGGCTGCTGCTCGTTTGTAGGGGTATTGTACTTTGAGTCGATATGATGCAGCGTGTAACTCGAAGTGTCGACGTTGCCTCGGGATTGCCGTCAGAAACACGGTCGGGGGTATCTTGATTGTTTGGGCGTGGAGCGTTAACTTTCCCTAGACTTTTTATTTGGGTTCGTGAGTGATATCATCCGGTTGAATTCAGCATGCTCTGGATATATGTCCTTAAATTTGGGGGGGAAAAAGAAGCGCATACAGCCTCATTCCAAAGCGCAGCACTACGCCATGAGTCGTATGACATTGTCACAATGCATGTCCAGAGTTCTCGACCACGGCCGGAGATTGGTCGCCTAAACTGGAAGATATGGCGTTCTGTCGCTGACGGTCCGATCTGGTGTTCTCGAGATAAAGCCTTATATCGCCGAGACTTGCTTTGCTGCGAATGAGGTCTAACAAAGGCGCAATATTGGCATCCGAACTGTTCTTTAGAGCCTGAAACAGCTCAACCAAAGTGTCCCGTTCTGCCCGCATGTCTTCAATCCTCTCCTGAGAGATCAAGTCACGTCGCCCATCTTGGTCCGTGTCGAAGGTACAGGCGAGTCGATGCTCAGTGCAACGTTCGCAGGCAGCGGCCTTGTCCCTAAGTCGGCACTGGCGTCATATTGTTCATGGTTAGCTGGTTAGGGATCAACGAGAGAGTGAGGGATAGCTACTATTGTCTTTTGCCGCTGGCAATCGTTGCACGCTGCTGACCCCTTGCGGACGCAGGCTGCCGTAACGTTGCGCCTGGTGGAAGGTGAACAGAACGGGAACGATGGAGCTGGGATTATGGGCGGCATGAGGAAGAGTTTGTATGTGTAGGAGATATATTTGCCCAGCTGTTCTGCTCATAACCAGAATAGGTCAAACAATCTCCCTCCCAGTGGAGGGAGTTCCCGGCGGGAGTTCGAATTATGTTCCAGTCACGGGTGCATGCAGCTCGGACTCTTTATCCGATTTTGTTTGAATCAGTAAACAAACATTATCCACAGTGGCTCTTAGTCATTTCTCTTTCTTTCTTGTTTTTTTTTTTTTTTTTTTTTTTTTTTTTTTTTTTTTTTTTTTTTTTTTTTTTTTTTTTTTTTTTTTTCTTTTCTTTTTCTTCTTTTTTTCTCTCCCTTATGTTTTCGCATTTGTCTCTCTTCTGTCAGGCCAGCTCGGAAACCTCATCCGCCCTTACCTCTCCAATCAACAGCAAGCAGGTCTCCCATCCTAAATTAACCTTAGACTTGATCCCCCAACATCCTTGGACTTACGACTATCACTTAGCTGGGTGGGGAACTCAGATTGCACCTCCCACAAACTGTGCTGGGTCAACAGACAATGTAGTCATCCACTTCCCATTCAATGGGAACTAGCAGTGCCGATATCGGCCGTTTCTCTTGTACAGTTCCTCTAGCTACCGTGGGATACGCTCGACCCAGTTTGTAATATACAGCTCACAGGTAGCCAAAGGCTTAACGTGGAGTCATATTTCTTCCGGATTAGCCTGAAAACATTCGTGTTTTTACCTAGCGAATAGAGGGGTATCATGAATTAGAATACTTGAGCCCGGTGTCTGCTCGATCAAGACGTCAAAAGACTCGTCTAAGAGCTGTTGTCGTATAGAGTGATGTAAACATCGAAGTATTCGCCGTGCTGGTGTCCATGAACTGTGTCATGGTAGATAAACCGCCAATCCTTGAATTTTGGACTTGTCTTCGTGATACTGGACGTCTGGGGAATAATTTCATTCCGTTGCGTGGAGAGAATTGCTTTTGTAATGAAGATCTCTGTTCAAAGTCATTGAGGCTATATATAGAATATAATCTCCGCGCAGATTATGATTTAGAATATCAGTTCCGGTTGTTCTGTCTTCCCATACTGTGTCCAGAGCCTGCTGGGAGAAAGGCTTTCTATGCAATATGCCCTAGGCTGAAGCTCATTCCATCCCTATAGGCTCTTCCTTACTAATCAGCTGTCATGCCAGGCGATGAATGTAGTAGACGCTCAGCACGTGCCTTTACAAAGGAGATCAATTTCCCACCGAACTCCACCACGCAACGCAACTTGACATTCCCCTTTATACGAGTGACAACAATCCCATTCGCTCTAACTACTCTTGTGAAAGTAAGATGTCGTCATACAGCCTCCAAGGTGCAGTTGAATGCACCATGCAGCGCCCAAAGGGCAGCCATGCGCAACACCCGCAGCTCCGCCCGCATATATAACCCTAACCCCGCGCCATCACCACAACTGCCACTTCTACCCTCGACTTATCCCAACCTCCCCTCACCCCAAATTCTTCAGATTGTAAAACCGAGATTATATCAAACAACATGTCCTTCCACACCTCCTGCCAGAACATCCACCTCATCAAGGAGGACGGCCGCACCATCCTCCACGCCGAGGTCCGCCGCCGCAACAACGAGATGGTCGCGCGGACGTTCCCGTTGGATCGACACATCGGGAATGCGAACGGTGAGTAGCTTCCACCTTTCTTTACTTGGAAATCGAAACACAATTTGCGTTGAAGCTTTGCGGGGGAAAGATCAGTGATAACTGACGAACTGGACCACGATAGGAGGCTTCCAATGGGGCGGCCATGACTTCACCCACAGCGCGCGCGACATCGAACTCGAACAGACCGAGCGGGGCCCGCGGCTAACGGCCTTCCTGAAGGGTAGTGGTGGGGAATACCGGGAGTTGCAGGGCTTGTACCTGGCCGATCGGATCAAGAACCAGGATGGGGAGCTGATCTATCTGGTGGGTTGGGAATTGTTCTCCCGGGATGACGGTGTGCTGACTTTTGATGCTAGAATTGAACAGTGCAGGGGTTTTATGACGGGAGTGGAGCTGATTGGGTTGGAATTGATGTAGATAGGTAGCTGGGTTTGGGTTGTTGATAATGGCATGATATTCTGGGATGAGTTTACGCCGGTTTTAGGGTTTAGGTGATCAAGGGTAGACGTAGATGGCAGTGCTCCAGGGTTTTTTGTGGATACTATCTTGATGAGGGGTAGTGAGGGAGTCTACGCATATTTCTTTTTTTTTGATGGTAGGGAGATTAGCTGCCTAGTACAGGCAACGCATGTTCTGCTGCCGGGTGATGTGGTAGTGGGGGCGTAGAGATATCCCCGTGCTCCTGTCACTGGAATAGATCGTTGGCTTGATGACATCATGAATGTCACGGCGGACACTCCACTCTCTAACCAGCCTGCGGAGACCATTGCTTGACGTGTCGAGTGATATGAATTGAGACTTCATCGGAATTGACAGGAACTTTCCCCTGGGGTTCAACGCTCAACGCTTGACACAACCGGGACCGAATCCCGAACCCGCGACGGATCTTCATTCCGCGGAACTCAACAACGAGAATAGAAAAGGGCCCGACAACCCTGCTGCAGGAATACCTTTACCCTTGGATAGGCAGAGGAACAAGCGAAGCAAAACCGACCACGCACAGAATGGTTGACAAGAAGGTATGCCAACCCCACCACCGCCGGCCCTCGAAGGCTCAAAGATCAACGCTGATCATACACAGAGTATCTATTACACCTACAAGTCCATCGAAGCGTATGACAAGTACGATGATGATGTGAGGAAGTAAGTGCAAATCACCATCCCATCCAACCCGCCTGATGCAGCTAACTCCAGGCCCACGACAGAATCATCCAAGATGATACCGACCAGGACATCTGGATCTGCAACCGAGCGCTGCCTCCGACCTGCTACCCTCCGTAAGACTGCGACCACCAACTCAGTTGGCTTAGTGACTGACGGTATTTTCCAGGCCGCTAAGTGAGGAGTGCATCAAGAAGCTGAAAGAGCTAAGTCACGATGTGGTCGTTCATGAGATTGAGGGTTAGTGGTTGATGTGGATGCCCTGTGTGTGATTCACTTGCGATAATATGACAAGTAGCAGCTGGTTACTCTCTGGCTTTATCCGGCCACGTAATAAGGTACCGGTATATTATTGTGTTCTAAAGCCTATTCGTATCGTGACTTGGTAGAAGCTCAGAATGTCTGTCTGACATACTATCACGAAGAGGTAGTCTTTCATCTCACTGGTCAGATCAAGACCTAAGGCGCTTAGCTACTGCTCAGACCCACCAATCAACCATACAATTCTTTTTTACCATGTCCAACACGCTAATAGGGTGAAGACAGAGATCGGGACAGTGAGTGAGGGGCTGGAAGATGGAATAAGAGGCCTCACGCCCACATATTCTGCTTGTAGTGTACAAAAGGTCCACTCACTGTGGGCTTCATTCAGCAATGATAACCTCTCCTCGCTGTCTGGGGACGTAAAATAAACCCATTTCTCATGTCAAACATCCATTAAGTTCACGTGAGAGCCTGAGCTTTAAGGCCTCGGTGTTACATAATCTCCTGCAGCCCTGGATAGAAATGATTAATGAACCAATTTCTTTGTCGAAGACCTAATCAGCCATCAGTTTTCCCAATATGAATCAGACCATGGGTTATCCAGTAATAGTATACCCCGAAGGTGTCCAACGACCGGTGGTTGCATTCGGGTCCTCGGGCATAATCTTCCGCGATTCGTGCAATGATACCGAAGTCCTCAAATGCCCGCTGCACCATGATCTGAGTAAATGCAGCGAAGAGACTGCTCTGTCGATGTGAGAGGATGAGGCGTTTTCCTCCATGAGTATGGAGCGAGAGAAATAAATTTATCAATCCCTTCCCAAGCACGGGGACGTTCTCGACTGCCTCGACATAACCGAGAATGGCATCCGCTTCCCCTATATGCGCAATGGCAATCTCCGTGACTACATCCGCAAGAACCACGCGCATGTGGATGATACAACCAAGGACACCTGATTTCGAAATGCTATCAGTGCAGTGCAGTTTATTCACTGCCACTCCGTGATCCACGGCGACATCAGCGCCCGCAACTTCCTGCTGGCGGATGACCTCTCGCTCAGGCTCTGTGACTTTGCCGGCTCGGGCATCGGCGACATGCTTCCGCTGGTCACGGAAGAGGACCGGTAGCAGCTGTCTCCCGAGTCCCCTCGATTCATTCAAACAGATCTCTTCGCCCTGGGCTGTCTGATCTTCGAGATCGTGGTCGGTTCCCGCCCGTACGAGGAGATCAGCGACGATGATTGGGAGATCATTGCCCACAACTATAGTCGAGGGGTTTTCCCGCCGGTAGAGGGCATTAGATATGAAGATAGCATCCATAGCTGCTGGACCTCCCGATACACTAAGGCCGATCAGATTCTCGTGGCCTTTGAGAGTGTCAGCCATGGTGGATCGAAGCAAGGAGTGCATTTACTATCCGTGGTACTCAATCTGCCGAAGCCGGCCCTGGTGTCACTAGGGATGCTTCCAGTTTGTGTAATTCTTGTCTGTTTCTACCGGAAGCACTGGTAGTCTTCGAAAGTTTTAGTTTTCCCAAGCAAAGGTTGGGATGTGAATGCTACTGAATGTGCCTTCGGGTTTGTGCTCGAGTCTGTGTAGTACAAATATGCCGTCAACAGCGAGTGACTTTACGCTCATGCACCCAGGGATGAACTGTCCTAAATCAACATGACATACTTCCCTTAACAACGTCTCAGTTGAAAGAAGGACCTTCTGTCGGTAGCTGGAATCCTGCGTGCACGTGATCCATCAGTTGATTTCATCCGCTTATAACGCTTTTATTAATTCGTGTCTTTCCTCTCTCCTTGCTGCCTATTTTCTTGATATTTTGACCGACAGCTCACATCCAAAGTGGCCACAGCTGCCTCTCCTGACTATACCATGCCGGATACCATGCCATCCTCGGCCCAAACGCCAGAAATAAGCAACAGGAGTCCCAATGATCTCACACGCCCCTCGAAGGCCACTGTCACGTGGACAATGGCCTCGCTCTGCCTATCCGTCTTGCTATCGGCTCTCGACCTCACCATCGTCACTACCGCAATGCCATCCATCGTTGGCACCTTCCAAGCCGCCGCCGGATACACATGGGTTGGAGGTGCCTACACGCTCGCCAACGCCGCCGTCACCCCCGTGTGGGGCACTGTCGCCGACATCTGGGGCCGCAAACCGGTCATCCTGATGGCCATCGCCGTCTTTTTGGTGGGAAGTCTGCTGTGCGCCCTGGCCCATACCATGAACGTCCTGCTCGTCGGACGCGTAATCCAGGGCCTAGGCGGGTCCGGGATCGGGATCATGGTGAATATCATCATCAGCGATCTCTTTTCCTTACGGGACCGAGGCCTGTATCTTGCCATCACTTCCTTGGTCTGGGCCGTTGGAAGTGCGATCGGCCCTGTTCTGGGCGGGGTGTTCGCGACCAAGCTTAGGTATGTTCCCAGCCATTTGCGAGGCCAGATTACTCATTTCGTGGTGGCTCAGTTGGCGGTGGTGCTTCTGGATCAATTGTGAGTCCTCCACTCCTCCCTATGCCGTCTACCCCCAAGAACACCAGACTAAATTCCACCCCAGTACCCGTGGGAGTCATCTCCTTTGCCGTCCTACTCCTTTGCCTCAAAGTCCCAAGCCCAAAGACGCCAATGGCAGCCGGACTGAAAGCCATCGACTGGGCAGGGATCCTCCTGATGGTGGGAGGGGCACTCATGATCCTCCTGGCACTCGACCTCGGCGACATAGTCTACACCTGGTCCTCCGCCACAGTACTCTGCCTGCTCGTCTTCGGGGTCCTATCCATGGGCCTCTTCGCCGTCAACGAATACAAGATCGCGCGCAACCCGGTGATTCCGTTCCGGCTCTTCTCCTCGCCCACGAAAGCAGCACCCTACGTAGTCTTCGCCTGCAACAACTACGTCTTCATCGGCCTAGCCTACTACCTGCCCCTCTACGCACAAGCCGTCCTCGGCGCCAGCGCACTCACCTCGGGACTCTACCTCCTCCCACTGATCGTCTCGTGCGCCCTCGCCGCCGCCGCCGCCGGCCTCTACATGCAGCAATCCGGCCGCTACCGCCCGGTGATGTACATCGCGCAGGTCCTCCTCCTGCTGGGCACGGGCCTGCTGATCGGCCTGCACTTCGAGACCGCACTCGCCCGCCTCCTCATCTTCCAGACCCTGGCCGGCATCGGCGTGGGGATGAACCTCGATCCGCCCATCCTCGCGGCGCAGGCCGCCACCACCGTGCGCGACACCGCCGCCGTGACCGCGACGATGAGCTTCGTGCGCTCGCTGGCGACCGCCGTCGCCGTCGTCGTCGGCGGGGTGGTCTTCCAGAACGAGATGACCGCCGCGCAGGGGGCGCTGGTCGCGCAGCTGGGCGGCGCGCTGGCAAGCGGGTTTGACGGCGACCTCGCCGCCTCGAACGTCGAGCAGATCGCCCGTCTGCCGGCGCCGCAGCGGCTGCTTGTCCGCAGGACATACTTCCAGGCCCTCCGTATGGTCTGGGTCATGGTGCGCACTGCCCCCTTTGTGTCATCGTGGGCCATCCGTACTAACCGTTCTTCCGGGTGGGAGTGTAGTATGTCGCCTTCGCCGGGCTCGCGTCCCTGCTCACCCTGTTGATTCGTGCCCATACGCTCCGGCGGGAGAACGAGGGGCCCGTGTTGGGGGTCGATCGCGCACGGCCGGACGGCGCGCCGGCTGAGCCTGGGAATGAGATGGATTCCGTGGGGAGATCGGAGAATGTCTCCGGTGGGGATTGACTGGCTTGGCGAAGTTCCGGTCGCTCGGTTGCATTGGGGCGAGGGGCTTCCGTACCGCGATAGCGACCAGGCAGGGCATAACTCCCACCGAGGGAGGCCGATAAGCATCCCCGCTGCCTCTTTTGTATTCAAAGACTGTGAAATATACTTGCTCGACATATCACGCACCATCGCACCCGTATTCCTTATCCTTGAGACACATCCAGAGATAAGATAATGGGTATTCATGGATTTCAACCCCCAACATCCCACAAACCACCTCCAGTTACTCCACACCCCACATCCATACCCCTACCCCAACGTCAGATAAATACAACCACCAGCAGCAGCAGCAGCAGCAGCAGCAGCAGCGGCTAAAGCTCCACACTCCAAATCCCCAGTCCCAATCCACAGCAGCCCATCATCCACCAATATACCCCAGAACTCACCCCACAGCCCACAGCCCACCACTCTCAAAAATGCCCCCCACCCACCTGCGCCCCAAACTCGAAGAACTCCGGCCCGAAGAGCGGGTCCGTGGGGGATATGGCCAGCGGATCCGGCATGGCGATCCAGCTGGGAGCATTGTTGAACACATTCGGCAAGGTACCAGCCGCACCGATCGAGGCGGCGGGTGAAGCCGGAGCCCGCTCTTTGGCTGGGTGACGCTTGTCTCTGGTGCGCAGTCGGGATCGCGTCACTCGGTAGGGGTACTCGAGTCGTGAGAGGCCTGTCTGTTCTTCTGGTTGTTGTTGTTGGTGTTGGTGTTGGTGTTGGTGTTGGTGTTGCTGCTGATGTTGCTGCTGATGTTGCTGGACAGAGTTCTGGTGGTCCCCTTCGCGGACCTGGGTCGGCGGCGTCGTGGTTGTAGTTGGATTTGCAGCAATGGTGGAAAAGTTGAGGACGTCCCAGAAGCCGGACAGGCGGACGCGGAAGTCCGTGTTGTGGTGGGTGCTTTGGTGGTGGGCTGTGGCGGCGTCGTGGATGAGGCGGTGGAGGGTTGTGGACTTGATGGGTGAAAAGCATTAGTACCCTGGGGATTGCTTATGCACGGCAGAGAGAATGGGAAGCAAAAGGAGAACCGAAGGATGGGACAAGAGGGAAACGCACGAGTCTACGCAGCGCGGGCCAGATCGCCCCCAGCCGGTCGACCATATCGACGCAGCGCTGCAGCCGCTGCCTCTTACTTGCGCGCTCATCTGTCGACCCGGTGTACTGAAGCTGGAGCTCGATGGTGGCGACGATGGCAGCGCAGTACCCCACGATGGGATCAGTGGTTCTAAAAGCTTTCTCTTCGAGAAGTATCAAGAGGTCGGAGATCCAGCGTGTGTGGTGGGTGATGAGGGAGGAGGTCTGCTGCAGATGGATCTCCGGCACGGGGGCTCTCTCTCTCACGCAGAGCATGACCAGTAGTGGGTGGTTGAGGAGGCAGACGGTGGTGTGGTACAGGAACCGGCTCAGAAACCACGGCGCCCAGTACTCGCGGTCCGCGTTGATGTCGTCCGGGGTTTGAGCCTCGGGGTTGACCACTGCATACCGGTGGAAGGAAGGCAGGTTGGCCCCGATCTGGAGCAGCAGTGACATCTGCTGGGAATATGCGGACTTGTACGACCACGGTGGATCGGGGTTGCCGTGTCCACGGCTGCGGACGTACGACCGTGCTTGGGACCAGACTGCACTCAGATAGATCACGGTCATCATGATGCCTTGGTCTGCGTACTGGTACTCTTCGGGTGAAGGAGTCGGGCTGACCTTGCTAGGGAAGAGCTGTGGGGCTTCCTCGCGGAGGCGAGCATCTTCGGTCAAGAAATCACTCGTGGGATGTGTGATGGCTCCGTAGAACTTGTGTAGGAGGATAATGCTCCAACGGCATCGAAGAGCCTCATCGTCGTACTCGAGCCCTGCCCGTCCAGCTGGTCGCGTCGAGCAGGGTATTACATGCGTCCAGGAGACGAGCAGCGAGATGTAGGAATGCAAGCGCGGGATTTCATCATCCAGTGCCGCCACTGTGGCCAGCAGCACGAGAGTCTGCAAGGTGCAAAGAGCCACGTCCCCACTGAGGATGTGTTCCATGACCAGCCGATGGGCGATCTGCTTGTACCCGGGATAGACATCCTCCCCGCCAGAATGCTCCCGCTGGGGCGAGAAGCGACCCGCCACCGCAAGCATGGCGTAGACAAGCCCCATATCCCGAGTCTGCAGACTATTGAGGAAGGTGTCATGGTGGAAAAGTGGGAACGGCTGCGACTCCACCCATTGCAAGTACAATTGCGCGATCTCTGAGACTTGGACCCAGGGCGGCAGGGCTAGCCTGGTGAGGGGGATTTCTGGGGACTCTAGTACACGAGCTTGGGGAAGACCGGGCTGCAAATCACTAAACTCCCGTGACAGGATCTGCTTCTTGGGTAGACTGAGGCTAATTGCTCGACGGTCGTCATACGAGCACGGCTGTCGCAATCGCGCACAGTGGGCGCATACGGGTCTCTGGCCGGGGCATTTGGATTTCTTCCTGCGACAGGGCAGACAGGCCTGTTTTGCTCGAGGGCGAGAAGTAGAGACGGAACTGGGTATAGTGGTATTTGGGGACATAATGCAGCAAGCGCGTAGGGAACAGAGAGAGACCGATAAGACAAGGAGGATGACACGGAGTCACGTCACGGAGTTTTATAGTGAATGCCGTGCCAAGACGGCAGCCATCCCGAGCCGGCCCGTGTGACGTGATTATCTGGGAAATGGCATCAAAATGGAGAATATGCGGACAGAATACACTATACGTAGACTACAGAGTACCTTATAAATTGTTTGTCCTGCTATTCGGGGTGGAATGGCTCTGTTGCGAAGATCTCTTTTCGACCACAGCAACTCCCCTGAGTCCCCCGTCTTGTCTCAATACTCCCGATGACTCGCCGTCAGATCTGCCTTCTCACCCTGGTGAGCCAGCTGGCTAGCCTGGCGACTGCAGACTGGCAGTACAGATCACGGCCAGACTTGTCTCCCCCCAAATTGAACATCACTGTACCCGCGGCCGCCTCCACGGCTCCCGGCTACATCTTCACGGCCCCGTATTTAGGGTTCGACCCCGGCAGCACCGGCCCCGAGCAGCCCGGCGCGTACATCTTCACCAACGATGGCGATCTGGTCTGGTCAGCTACCGGCTATCTAGCCGGGTGGGTGGCAGACTTTGGTCCCACCGTAGTCGATGGCAGGCTCGTCCTGCGTGCTTTTCAGGGCAGACTCGATGCCCCGCACGGACGCATGTACGGGGATCATGTCCTCCTGGACGACCATTACGAAGCCATCAAGACGATCCGGGCAGGATCGCATCGACTAGTCTCATGCCATGAGTTCCAGGTACTTGAAGGAGAGACTGTCTTGATTGAGACGCCGGTCTCGATTCCCACCGATCTCTCACCCTACGGGGGTGATGAGAACCAGACCTGGGTTGTGACGAATGGGTTTCAAGGTCAGTTCGCCTCTCTTTACGGTTCTCCATGAAGCTAACGTAGTTTCCTCTGTGAATCTAGAGCTCGATATCCAAACCGGTCAAGTCCTCTTCGAATGGTACAGCTACGACCACGTCAGCCCCAAATGTGAGTACCCCACGCTTACCTGCCCATGCCAGCATAATCCCCACTGACCCAATGCACCGAAGACACCCACTTCCCCCTGGAAGAGACCGGCCCCTTTGGAGGACGCTCCTCCTTCGACGCGTGGAACTACTTCCACATCAACAGCGTCGACAAGGATGACGAGGGCAACTACCTGGTCTCGGCGCGCAACTACGCGGCCATCTTCAAGATCAACGGCTCCGACGGCGCCATCCTCTGGCAGCTGGGCGGGCGCGCAGGCTCCGACTTCGAGGTCCCTGCGAGTGTGCAGTTCGCCCACCAGCACGACGCGCGCTTCCGGTCCCGCTCCGCCGACGGCACCATCGAGCAGATCTCCTTCTTCGACAACGCGATGCACACCGTCCCCGGCCATACGCTGAACCCGTTCTCCCGCGCGCGCATCGTGGAGCTCAATCACACCGCCGGCACGGCTTCCGAGGTGCGCACGTACACGCCCCCGGACGCGCTGGCCACCAAGTCCCAGGGCAATGTGCAGCTGCTGGCTAATGGGAACGTCTTCGTGAACTGGGGCCAGGCGGGCGCGGTGACCGAGTACGCCGAGGACGGCGAGGTGCTCTTCCATGCCTACCTGGATTCGGAGCCGTCGCGGAACGTGCAGAGCTACCGCGGGTTCCGGGCGGAGTGGACCGGCTTCTCGCCTGAGGAGCCCGCGGTGTTGGCGGTGCGCAGCCAGCAGGGCAGGCTGACTGTGTATGTTTCTTGGAACGGTGACACGGAGACACGCACGTGGCAATTTTATCTCGTCGTGTCGGAGAGAAATGGTCAGGTTGTCAAGTCGATCGGAAAGGCGAAGCGGACGGGATTTGAGACGGTCTTCACCTCGCAGGTCGCTGCTTCTCTAGTTGGGGAGGAGTCGGTACGTGTTCTGGCCGAGGCTTTGGACTCCAGAGGCCGGTCGCTGGGAAAGAGTAGCGCCATCAGGGTGCAAAATGATGCTTTCTATCCTTGGGAGTCGGCGAATGTCGGTGTCAATGGTCAGTATTCGAGCGACCAGATTAGGCTGGAGTTGTGATGGCGGCCACCAGAGAATAGCGCAATGAGGAAGAGAATAAGAGATGTGCAATGAGATGATTTTTCTTCGGTTCGGCGCCAGAAGACCAGTTGTGGCTGGCTCACTGGGTGATCTGTAGACAGGAAATGTGCACAGCTGCCGGAGTAGACTTGCCCGTGTCTCATAACACCGATCTCATGGTGTCATCACCAGTGGATATGCTCATGTTCAACCATGCCTGTTCGTCTGTCGCAATGCCGTCTTTCGCCGTGTACCTTGAGTTCAGCTAGGCAAGACGAGCGTCGTCTCATGCCAGCTCATCTGGGTGGCTGATGGTGCAATAGCCCTAATGCCAAATCTATGAACATATAAACGGAGGGTGGAAGCTGCTCTTCTCCCAACTCCAGTCACTCATCATTTGGCATTCCTCCCCAAGTCCACCAGGGTGTCTCACATCACTCTTCCACTCCACAATGTCCGAGATCGCCGAGAAAAGCTTGAATGGAGAGGTACTGGAGCTCGACCCCAGCAGACTACCATGGACTGAATCCGAAGAACGACGAGTCCGTCGCAAGTAAGCACTGGCCAGTCCTCCCGCCCTCACAGACCTTAACACGTATGGCCGTCCCTCACACAGAATCGATTTCATCCTCCTGCCTATCTTAGGCCTCGCCTTCTTCGCCCTGCAGCTCGACCGTGGCAACATCAGCACGGTCCTGACCTCAACAATCACCTCAGACCTCAACATTACCACTAACAAGATCAACGTCGGTTCCCAGCTGCTGTCCGCCGGGATTGTGCTCACCGAACTTCCATCCAACATTTTACTGCAGAGGTTCGGCCCTAAATGGTGGTTGTCGTTCCAGCTGCTCGCTTGGGGCCTCGTGGCCACCTTCCAGGCGTTTGTGTCCAACTACGCCTCGTTCCTCGCCACGCGACTACTCCTTGGCCTGTTAGAGGGCGGATACATCCCCGGGGCTCTGTTCTACCTGTCGACCTGGTACAAGAAGGAAGAGCTGAGCTCCCGCGTCACCCTGTTCTTCTTTGGCCAGATGTTCTCCGCGGCCACCTCGAACCTGATCTCCGCTGGCCTGTTGAAACTGGATCAGTCGCACGGGCTGGCAGGGTGGCGGTGGGTGTTTCTTGGTAGCTTACCCCCCGCCCTTCTGTACCTGCTTTACTCATCATCAACGACTGACCCCCGCAGTCGAAGGCCTCATAACAGTCTCCATCGACATCATCTTCCTCCTCCTCCTACCCACCAGCACAGCCAACACCCGTCCCCTCCTCAACTACCGCTCCCGCTGGAGCTACTTCACGCCCGACGAGCAAGAAATCATCCGACAGCGGTACGCGGCCGACGCACACAGCAACCCAACCGACGACAGCCGCGTCCGCATCCGCGCGCGGGATATCTGGATGACGGTGCGCAAGCCCACCATCATCCAACACTTTTTCTTCACGCTGGTGTCCATGAGCGCGCTGTCCGGGCTGACCACCTACACCCCGACGCTCATCAAATCCTTCGGCTACGACGCCATTCACGCCAACCTGCTGGCGTCCGTCCCGGTGTATTGCAGCATGGTGTTGACTTTTACGTTGGCGTATCTGAGGTACGTTCACTTGCAAAACCGACTCAAAGAATTCATCCTCGGACCACGCAAAAACGCCAGGATACTAACCCCCCCTCAAAAGCGACCGCACCACCAAGCGCGGCCTCTTCGTCCTCCTCGCCAGCACCTGGAACCTCATCGGCTACATCTGCCTCCGCGAGATGCCCGCCACCGCCAGCCGGCAGCGTAAGTACGGGACCATCGTCGCGGCGAGCGTGGGGTACGCGGCTATGCAGTACGTTATTTGATCGCAGTTTTCATCATAACTCCTCCCCCGCATTACTCCCCCAGTCTGTATACCCCTTCCGTCTACCAGACTAATGTTTCTTGTGTAAAGTATCCTCAATGTCGCCTGGCTAGCAGTGACCTGCACCACGCCCCAAGAACGAAGTGTGGCTCTTGCGTTCGTCTCCCTCCCTGGTACGGGATCAGTGCTGGAACAAACAGACAGACTAACGAAGACAGCCTCGTCATCATGGCCGCCAATCTCTCCGGGATCAGCGGGGGCCAGATCTTCCGGACGGGCGACGCGCCGCTCTACCGGCACGGGCTGACGGCTCTGTGTGCGCTGGCGGGCGCAGCGTGGGTGCAGGCGGTGGGGTTGAATGTGTGGTATTGGGCTGCGGGGAGGAAGAGTTCTGCACTAAAGAGGGGAGGGTAGATTGATTGTGTTAGAACTTATGAAGGGGTGAGAGATGAAGTTGGGTAGACGTGGGTGGTGGAGCCGGAAAACCGGCCACAAGCGCGCGGGGAGATATAGGGCTAAAGGCTGAGGGCTAAGGCAGGGTCAAGCATTGGATTTGTTGAATTTGTTGTCTGTAGTAACTTACGTGGTACAGTCCTCGGTGCTATGTGGATCCGGGTCCGCGTAATCAATGTCTCAGAGGGTGACGATCCGTTGTTCGATGGACTGGGGATTGATCCTCTGTCTGGTTTGTTTAGCTCTATCAGCTACAGTGCACTTCGGTGTGCCTTAGTGCCATTAGTTCCATGATCTGGTCTCCTGAGTGCATCAATTTTAGATCTGGTTCCTTTAGTGCCGTTGGTCTTGTACTCTGGTCCACTTTCCCGAATATCCGCCCTTACGGCCCCTGATCCACGTTGTCCCTGGTCTGCCACGAGGCTAAACGGGGTCACAAGTCCTGCTCGCCCGGTCGTCGCTTGTTTCTTAGTGGAATTGCCTTGATCTGCGGCGGATTAGGGCGGATGGGCGGATAAGGACGGCTATTCAACTGGGACGGAAACGGGACGGAGCGGGTTGCTGCCTGTGCAAGGGTTCGGTTCCACGGGAATTAGGGCTATTGCACTGGAGGCAGAAAAGACATTGAGCCAGACTATCCTGAGGAATTGGGCACAGAGGCTTCTACCCCTTCGATGTACCCTCTCTGGTCCTGTTGAGAAACTCAAGAAATGAATCTCGTGCGCTGATCGAAAACAGATCTAAACATCCGGTGGGCCGCGATCGCCCCGACGGGCTCATGCACCTGCACGAGATAGTTCTGCAAGACCGCCATGCCTCCGCCAGACGAACACCGAGCATCAAGGGGCAGTGGCACAGACAGCCCTCCGCTCCAAGCATACCCCGTCAAAGCATTCTCATTGGCCGTGCCGGAAGTTTAGTTCTGCGGCCAAGACATAAAAGTGGGCCTGGCGCTGAATTCTCAATTGCCAGCGCTGAGCTGAGCTGAGAGGGGATCTCCGTGATCGGCATCAATCGATCGAATCTCGATCTGCGCCCAGTCATCACGATCCAACGTACGCTGCGTACGTCATATATAAGTCCTCCATCCCGCATGCTGCGAATCCACGTGTCCCTTGACCAGCCCCGAAGAACCCCAGATCAGCGCATCCCCTCAGCATCGCAAAAATGACCACTGTGGCCGAACCCCCGCAAAAAGGTCCGGTACAGCCCTACCCCCTCTCCCAGACTACAACCACTCCTAACTTCAGACCGTAGTCTGGGCCTCCCTGATCACCAACCTGCACTACCTGCCGGGCCTCCTCACCCTCGCGCACTCCCTCCACCAAACCAACACCGCCTACCCCTTCCTCGCGCTGTACACGACCTCCCTCCCAGAAGAAGGCATCGCCGCGCTCCGCGCCCGCGGCATCCCCAGCCGCCTCGTCCCCACCATCACCCCGGCGGGGACCTGCACGCACGCGCACGACCCGCGCTTCGCGGAAGCGTGGAAGAAGCTGGTGGTGTTCTCGCTAGCAGACTACGCCCGCATCGTCCTGCTGGACAGCGACATGCTCGTGCGCCAGAACATGGACGAGCTGATGGACCTCCCTCTGGACGGGGAGACGCAGATCCTCGCCGCCAGCCACGCGTGCGCCTGCAACCCGCTGCGAAAGCCGCATTATCCGAGTGATTGGTCCGTCCCCTTCCTCAGTCCAGCCCAGGGCTACCCATCGTATCGTACCATTCGATCACAGCAATCATCTGAATTCCCGGCAACACTAACCGAAGAAATGTGGGCAGGACCCCGCAAAACTGCGCCTACACAACCCAGCACCCCTGCCCGGACACCGCGCAGACCACCGGTCCCGAGGCGACCGCGGGCGTGGCGATGCTCAACAGCGGCCTGCTGGTCGTCCAACCCCGGCCGACGGACTTCGGGGCGGTGCAGACGGCGCTCCAGGATACGGAGCGGGTGAAAGGGTATGCGCTGGCGGACCAGGAGCTGCTGTCGAACGTGTTCCGCGGCCGGTGGCGGCCGCTGCCGTATGTGTATAATGCGCTGAAGCCGATGCGTGGAGGCGGGAGCGGGAGCGGGGGTGCAGGCGCAGGTGCAGGTACGCATGCGGCGATCTGGCGCGACGGGGCGGTCAAGAATGTGCATTTTATCTTTGCGGTCAAGCCGTGGCAGATGGACCGGGACCAGGAGGAAGGGGATGAGTTGGTAAGGTGGTGGTGGGCGGTGGATGATGAGCGGAGGCGGGAGGAGAGGGCTCGGGGGGTGGGGGATGGGTATTAGGGACTGGACTCAGTGGGATAGCAGCCCTGATTCCTGTGGGAATGGCGTTGCAACTATGTAGTGGGGGTTGTTTCCTTGTGCTGTATCGATGGGCTTCCCTTTGTTTTCTTCGCGCTGTGCACTGTACTCGTGTTCCCGCTTGATTGCTTGGGAGAAAGTGCAGGGGCGGCGTTGTTGAGAGGAGGGATCATGATGGACCGGTCAATTGACAAACAGTCGTTGTGAAGTGGGGACGCAAGCCTGCTGATCGAATGGATAGGACGAGCCGCTGGACCTAGTCAATTGAACGACTTCACTCCGGAAAAGTGACTGGAGGAGGGCTGCATGTCAAGTGAATAGACAGAGGGCTCGCGGGCCTCAAGTAGTGATTAGGGCAGCACGTGGGCGGGCCCCTTTCGACACCTCCCCTTCTTCCCTCCTCTTCCCACCCCCCATCTTGAACAGAAATATGCTAATTCATTAAGTGGTCGGCTGAACGGTCTCGCTATACCTGCAGGTTATTCAAGCGTAGCTGCTTGCTTGCGATCACCCTATCTTTCTTAGCCAGTAAGCAGAGGGTCTTCTTTCCCTTAAGTGGTTATGAACCATGTACTCCAAGAAACACGCTCACAAGACTCGGAGATACTAAGTTGAAACAATGCTACGCTCGTGACCATCACAAGAACCCTGAAATGTCAGTTTTTACAACACCAGCCCAATAACAGAAACAACACCCCTAGACTATATCACAGCCGAAGAACAGTCGAACACAACATCGCGATTCAAAATCAAAGACCCAACACGAGAAGCACCACACCACAACCCCCTCAGCACAGACGACAAGAGATACACCAGAAATAAATACGAGAATCACCCAGTCTAAAACTCATCATGGCCCAAAATAGCACCCAACAAGCGAGACGCGATGGATCTCGGATGTCAATGACATCTGGACTAGCCCCGGCCGGGCCATACTTCGAGTTAGCGAGGTCCGGCACGCTAACCCCAGGGAAGCAAGGCAAGCCAAGCCCTAGACGATAGTAGACTGCCGGCAAAAGAATGACCCACTCTTTATGGAAGGAGAAGAAAAAAATCCAGTGGCTTGGGTTATCTGAGACACGATTCCCCCTTTTTGCGATTGAACGCCGAGACTCTGGTAGCGACGGTCGGGGTTCACCCAATGACAACTACCGACCGGCTACAAGCGGGGAGAATTCCTCAAATTTGAGAGCGGGAAAACCGGCACGGAGTGGCAACTGGCACCAGCACCAAACCAAAACAAAATCCAGGTTTTCTCCCCGCGCGCCAGCTAGTATGTACCTAGCTCCCCGGTCCAGCGGGGGTGGTCGTGGTCCCTGCATTGCCGACCGAGCTGGAACATCCCAGAAATGATGATCATGCCAGAATTATAGTACTATGAATGAATGAATTGTATATACAACAGCCCTAGCCTACGACTCGTCCCGCGCCGTCACGACCGAAAACTCGACCTGCTTCTGAATGCCGCCCTCGACCACCACCGCTCCCCCTTCATCGCGCCGGCCGGACCCCGACGGCGGCCGGTGGAGATCCTTCAGGATCTGCTCGATGCTGTCGGCGTCGTCGCGCTGGCCCGACGCCTGCCGCTCGTAGTAGTGGCCGCCGGGGGCGGACTCCTTGCCCTTGGAGTAAGGGCCGGACAGCTCGTAGGAGCGCGAGCGCGCCGCGGACGAGAGCTTCTGCACCGAGGAGATCAGCAGCGGCCGCACGCAGGGCACCGAGCTCGTGATGATGATGATCAGGCTCTCCGCGAAGCCCCAGCGGATCAGCTCCACGCCGCCCGAGGCCCCGACGTTGGTCACGCTGGGGACGTCCTTCAGCTTGGTGGTCTTGATGATCGAGGCGATCATGGCCCTAGTGGTTCGGTTAGCCTCCATGCCATTCCACGATATACTCAGTATCCCAGCCCAGGGAGGACCGGTAATCGAGGCGGAAGCTCAAGCCTCAGGGGTGGGTGGGGTACATACACCAGTCCGAGACTCAGCAGCACGATCAAACTGATCTTGATCCGGAGGCGGAGGTTCAGGTTCCAGAAGACGAGGGTGGGGAAGACGGCGAGGAAGAGATCGGTCGCGGTGTTGACGGCTGTTTTTCCGTGCCAGTCCTGTTAGTCGACAGGATTCCGTTTTGAACCCCGAAGTGGGAAGAACTCACAGGACGAAAAGTAGGAGAAGCGTACCACCGCCACCGTGTTGCCGCAGGTGGTCTTGATGTTCGCGTTCCACAGGATCCGATCGTCCCGGCAGATGCTCATCGGCAGCACCGCCGACACGATGTTGGCCGCCAGCTGCAGCAGCATGGCCACCCACAGCGCGATCCCGTACTTCTTGTTGCCGCCCAGGATCCCCAGCAGATAGATCACGAACGAGCAGCGCGCGAGGCCCGTGCTGATCGTCACCAGCAGCACCTCCAGCGCGATGTACTTGAGGATGTGCTCCACATTCTTGGCGGGCAGGCGGGTGAGGTCGGAGCCGAAGCCTTCGCGCACGGAGAGCGTCAGGAGGACCGTCGAGGATAGGGTCAATGCCTAGTGAGGATGAGGTGTTAGCGACTCACACTCGAATGGTCTGTGGATGAACGTTTGGGGGCCAGGGACTGTCGTACCCAAGAGATAAACATCAACGCATCGTCGACATAGAGCTGACGGATCTTGATTTTCGCAGCCACACGGAGGATGAGGATGACCGTCGCGATACCGACGGCCACCCATATACCCTTCTCCAGGGCAGAACCGTCGGGGTTATGCATCGTGAGAAACGGCAGAGGAGGGAGGGACGGAAGGGGGGGGGGGGTTGGAACAATAGCGGCGACGATCGCCTTCGAGCGAAAAACGGGGATCGCCGTTTTAGTTATATTTATTCCTGATGGCGCTTTGCAGGGATGGATTTTAAACTTTAGGCACGGATTCTGCACACTGGTTCGAGAATCGAGACTGGGCTGCTCTGCTGCTAGCAGGCTAGTTCACTTCCCAGATCCAGTTGGCCGGCTCCTGTCGGCTACTCTGAGAAATTGCTCGGGTGGGGATCTCATTGTCGAGACCCAAGCCACTAGACTAGACCAATTATCAGCGCACTCGCCACGAGGTAGACTAGTTCGGCAGAACGAGGTTGCCGTCTAATTAATCCCTTGCAAGAAACATTCGACATAGTATGCTCCACGCCATCTCGCTTGCGGTTCGATCCCCGATTCCACTGCACTGCATGAAGGGCGACCCAACTGAAAATGTGCTTCTGGTCCAAGCTCGTCCAAGAAGTGCGCTCTCCGCCCGGATACGGGATTAAAGTTCAATGACGCGGTGGAGACCATGAATGTCAAAGTTTGGGTGACAAATGGATTCAACCTGTGCGCTCTCGCCCAGGTATTCATTCATTGGGTTGACCTGCACCGTTCCAAGTTTTGACTCAGGACGAGCACTGAATTTTCAGCAGCAGTCAGAGCGGCCCCCCGTGGGCGTCCCGAGGGTTTGGCGGGAGGTACCCGCCTCCCTCCAGCCCTAATCGCCAGATTGGCCAATGCACAGGGATCGCGGAAGCAGGAACAGGTTCAAGGACGCTTCCAGCGTCGAGCTGAGTGGTACGATGCTCCGGATTAACCTTCGTACCTGGTTCTCGTTGTCCATGGAACCGGTGGCCAATTTCCGGGCGCAAACCTTGCGGTAGGAGGTGGGAGAGACAACCGCACAGCGAGATAACGCCGGTCGGCAGCACGGCCAGTGGAGGGAAAGATGTAAGCCAGCAACACAGGGATTAATAGGATTTCCTCCGCAATGCCTTTGTCAGCGGAGACTACATCCAACCCAGTGCGTGAGTCTCCCAATTTACCCCAAATTCAGCCAGCACCCTGAGTCCGTTTGAGTCGATTCAAAGCTGGCGGGATCCGATCCGGACGCTCACGGAACTCTGGTTCCGGGTCGTGCGCCGAGCGCGAGTCAAGATGCAGAGCCAGCGCCACATAGCGTAGCCGTAGCCCTAAACTTGAGGTTTCCCTCCCTCTCGGCTGCTTTCACCACCCAAGGGGAATAAGCATTCTTCGTGGAGAGCTTGACCTTTGGGGGCCATTCGGTGGCTGAGTCATCTTTCCTTCTTTGCGAGATCTAGAACGATGCCGCAGCAAAGAGTCCATGTCGACAGCCATCTCAACCTACAGTCTCTGGCATGGATGATTTCCAGAGTCGCATGGCGTCGTTCCTGCAGTCCTCTCGGAGATCGCTGCTAGCTTTTGAGCCGTCGACTCTAGGGGCGGGTCCATCGCGGTCGAACGCTCTATTCTGGGACGAACGTGTTCGTTGTCGTGCTAGATCGGAAACTCTAAAATCAGCACTATTGCTCTGGAAGCACACACTACATCGCATAGATAACAAGATCTTCAGTGTGTGGCAAATTGCAAAACAGAGATACACTCTGTCCCAATTTTGCACCGTTGTCGTCATGCACTTGCACACATCTTATCTGGCTCTATGCCGGACACGCGATTCAATCATGCGACTTTTCTCTAGTTCTCAGACCAATTTCTTTCTGGTATCTCGGGCCATGCACCCGCTCGCACGCCGCTGGTCTTACTTATCTTACTTTCTATCACTCAGTAGGGTGTCTCAGAATGGAAACAGTGCAGCTGATTGGTTGATATAGATCTGCCGATTATACTAGGACCTTCCCATGGGTGGTATGTGCAGGAAGGCTTTATATTCTGCGTATGATAAAGGTGAACCTGATTCGAGGCGGTCCTAAAAAGTCGCTACTGGCCCACATCTACCTGTAAGCAACCCAGGCGTGTGTTGTGTGATAGTAAGTCCTTATCTCAATTTGCTTCGGGAAAATCCTTTACCCTGGTCAAGGTTATCTTATTCTTTTAGTCTAAACTAGAGACATACTTGGTATGAAATTTGTCTAAAATCCCATCGCTATATTCCATATCATTATGCTCACGGTGCTCAGCGTCTCAAGCCACTGCCAATGAGCTATGGCCAACGCTTAGCGGGGCGCCCCCAACATGATTCAGAAAAAGTCAACGGTGGCAATGGGATCGGCGTCGGGGGAGCCGATGCAAAGCAACCGGAACCCGCCGCGTCCATCAGACGAACCAGCGGTAGCGTTAGCGTCATCGCAGCCATCGTCAGTGCCGTCAGCATTACCATCACCGCGACCTCCAGCCTCAACATCGGCGCAGTCACCACTGCCATTCCCGGTGGAATTGGCTGTGCCGTTGCCAAGCGTATTGTACCCGCCGCGTCCATCCGGCGAAACAGAGTCACCGCCGGGGCAGCCATCGCAGCCAGCGCCAGCGCCGCGGCCTCCGGCCTCAACATCGGTGCAATTACTGCTCTCGCAGTCACAGGAACCGGGCGTTGCTGCCGCAGCAGCAGCGCTAGCCTCAGCAGTAGACTCGGCGCCCTGATCGACAGGCTCAGTCTCACCAGCCTGGGAGAGCGCGTTAGCGGTATCCTCGGCAAGCGGGGCGGCCTTGAGGACCATACCAGGCAGGCAGGCCGCAGCCAAGGCCAATTTGTCGATATGCTTCATCCTCGCTCGTGAGGGTTGTCGGTTTTGTCTGTCTGTTGTTGGTGAGAAGAGAGGTCAATGCGGTTTGGGGTGTGATGAGGAGTAGTGGAATTGCTTGAGGACTGCAGCGCTCTTTATATCTTGCGGGGTCGGCAGGCTTCTTTGCCAGCCTCAAAGAACTGTTGCGGAGGATGCCAGTCTGGGCGAATGGCCAGCAACAAGGTTAGATCCTACAAGCAGACGGACTCCGGTGTGCAGAAAAGATCATTCCGCAATGCTCCTTCTCTGACCTTTGGAGGATCGCATTGGTGAGAGAAAGCCGTCCACGGAAAGCCTCGGGAAGCTTCAGGGCGAGCAAGCGGGAGAACAAGGCCGGAGAGTTCTTTGTCCCACGAGCGGGTAGGTCCAGCATGGTTTGTTTATGACCGTCATGAGGATATTAGTTCTAAGAAAAGCAGATCAAGTGCACCCCCAAGCATCGTCGATGCTAGTTTAGTGATTGCTCGCTATGTGGGTCACGGATACAGAACAAAAATGGCAAAAAGCTATGACAAGAGTGGGATTCGAACCCACGCCATCAAACGATGATCAGGAAGCTTGAAGAAGCTGTTTGCTAAGGTGACCTTAACCTGACGCCTTAGACCAACTCGGCCATCTTGCCTTGATGTGATCCAGGTCACATATAGTGTTATAGGAGCCTCCCGTCCCAATTCTAGCGCGCCCACCACGGGCACCAGGAGAACCATTGTAGCCCTAACAGCTTGCGTGGCTAAGCCTGTTCTGACTCTTGACGCGAGCAATAGTCTCGACAATCAGGCTCCGAGGGCAATCATCTCCGCTCAGACAGCCGCCTATATTCTCATATCCATGTGACGACAGTACCCGATAGCGATAACATACCCAAACCAAAAATGGCGAGCTGATGCCGAAAGTATAAATACTGTTTCCCTCGAATTCTGGTTCACTATACTCAGCAGTAATAAGTTCACAAAGGACCGACTACTCTCCTCATCTTTCCTTTCTCACATTCTCTTTTTCCACTCTTTCCTCGATCTTCTCTTATATATCTTGGATTGTCACACACTGAAAAAAAATCTGGAAATGTTGTTCAAGGCATAAGCCACCAAAGCATAAAGCATCCCCCAACTTCCCACCCCCTACTAATCCACCAGCACCTCCTCCTCCTCCTCCTCATCATCATCATCCCCATCATGCCCACCATCACACCGCACAAACCAAAAACTCAAGCTATTATCCACTCGATCCGTAAAGACATAGCTATGCTCCGGCCAACTATCCGAGTTGACATGCAACCCATTAAACCCGGAGGCACTCTCCGCCACCCGCAGACGGAGCCAGTCCCCGCGCGCGGCCGCCGCCGCCGTGAAGCGCGCGCGCTTGCCCTGCCCGTCCTGCGCGTCGGGCCACACCTCGCTCGGGAGGCCCTCGAACACGTTCAGGAAGCGCGGGGCCCACTGCGACTTGGGCGAGCCGCGCAGGTCGCGCAGGTAGAAGGTGCCGTGGTTCGCGACGGGCCCGGCGTCGTCGGCGTTGTCGCAGTCGGCGGTGCGGCACACCTGCAGGCGTCGCGGGGTTTGGCCCTGCTTGAAGGCTAGCCACTGCCAGGGCTGCGCGTCGTTGCCCCAGGTGCTGTCGACTAGGGGGCCGAAGTCGGGGTGGATGAGGTGATAGCATTGGCCGTAGGTGATGGGGAGGTTGTGGGGTTGGTGGTGTTGGTGGTCGGGGCAGGGGGCGGTTGGTTGTTTTTCGGGGTGATGCTGGGGGTCCATGGGTTGTTGGGGTAGGTCGGGGTGGTTGGGGAGGGTGGTGGCTGGATGTGCGGTGAGGATGAGGAGGGCGATGAGAGCAATTCTGAACGTCATTTTGGTTTCTCCGGGAGGTGGACAGTTCTGTTCCGATTCTTGGGATTTGTTTGTTGTTTTGGAAGGACGGGCGTTTCTGGTTGCGTTCGCGCTCGCTCAAGAAGAGGTGTATAGGGGTGTCAGGGGCGAGGATTTCTTCCTTTATATGGCAGGGCGACTTCTCGGATGGCTAATCAATTCTTCATGGCCGATTGATGGTCAGTAGAATTTGAGTTTGTTCTTTTTCATGTGTCCCGACCCGTCATGTTCTGGACTCAACAATGCCGATGCCCGAAAACGGCATTCTGCTGCTCTGGGCTGATGCATATTGAGAGTCACTGATGAGTACCGCGAAAGCATGATCCTTGTTACGGATGTTACAGCTGGGGATGATATCACGACTATCTATAAGCCAAGCTGTTTTCGTCAAGCCCCCTTAGTGAAAGCGGGAAGAACCGAAGTCTTAGTTCAAAGGACGACGGCGAGAAGATTTCGAGATATATTCTAAAGCGTGAGTTAAGCCCACTTCACTCGTTTGGTCCATGTTCTCCTCAAACCTGATCGCGACGCTTGCAATCAGAAGAGAATAAGCCCCTGAGAATTATTGATCTGCACTTCTGATTTGGGCTCTGGATGGACTGTAGCTAATGTTGGACGTCATTGTCATGACGGCTCCTGTACCACGGTTGAAGACGAACTCTACCTGTCAATAAAGCTTATCACCATCTGCAACCGGACATGTCTTTCCGCAACGACAACGTCTTACTTTGTGGGGGGATCATTCATCAACAAGGACAGCAACTTCGTGTTGGAAAGTCTGGAGAAGATGGTTCTTCTCAGCCGGAACAGAAAACCTAGTTTTAAACAGTAGGGGACATGTCTGCCTGAGATTCCATTCCCCTCGGTAGCAAGCTTCCTTGAGTAAGCAGTATAGCTGCATTCGCTTCATTCGCTCTGCGTAATGAGATAATACAGTATCAACGTAGACCGCTTAGGGTTCAGTGGGGTGCGAATACACTCTTATCGTGCCCCGACTCTCCAGACCACTGAGCAAGCACCAAGCAGTACCCAACCAGGCCTAGACCCCAAGGCAAAATGACGTCTCATTCTCCTTAAATCAGTAAAGTACAGCAATCGGCCAGTCGGTGACTGTAGCCTCCGACCCCACTTCCATGTTTAAATCAAGTGGGTCTCGGCTCACGGGCACCCAATCCAGCACCCTTGGTGCAGAATGATTGTCTGGCTTACCCGATAAGGAATTCGATGCCCTAATCCATTTACAAGGGAGTGGTTGCTGCTCGGTTAACCAATACCGACAGTATTAGATTCTACTGGGATCAGAACTGTAAGTTTCTGGATAATCAGGTCACTAATCGCATGTGGTATCCCCTCTCAATCTGAGATATAAATGAATAGCCGTGGGCTTAGTGGTGGGAGGTTTTGTCGAGATAAGTAATTACCAATTGTATTTATTTAAGTTTGTATACTAATTAAACCTTGATTTTCTATTTGTTATAATTATAGGGGAGCTTTTTGGCCTCTGCGACCTCCCTGGCAGTCTTTTCAATACTGTAGGGATATCTGCATCCGCCCCGGCCTCCATTAAGAAGTCCAGAACTACCGACTGGATTTGCTGGGTGGCGTGTTTCTTGCCTGGGTTGTAACAATGCTACTTAAGGTAAAAATCCAGCGGGGTGCGGCCCTTGTTGTTCTGCGCATTAATATTCTTAAAGGCGCCGTACCGCAACAAGCACTTAATATCAGATAGTTTCCAGTCCAGTCTGCGTATGGTGAGGTGAAGCTCTGTCTGGCCCTCGGCGTCCGGCCGCAGCCGCACGCCTGCCTCTATTATAGCGCGAATCTTCTTCTCGGTGTGAATTGGAACATAGTGCAGGACACTTTTCCTATAGGCATTCAGACTGCTCAGATCGGCACCTTTGTCCTTGAAGAAGTAGAAGAGGTGCATGCTCAGCGCCTCGACCGCGGGATCGTCGGCGGCGCTCCAGCAGTTGGCAATGTGGAACGCCGTGTGTCCATTTCGTGTGCGGTAGTTGGCCAGATCGGGGTTGGCCATGGTCGTGGCGATCTATTGAGATTTTCTCCTCCGTTGGTGGTGTTGTTCGCTGCCTGGTCGTTTTCTTTTCCCCTGTGTTCTTTCTTTCTGCGGGTGTGCAAAGATCCAACTTACATTGCTTATTCTCGCGACCATGGTCTCTTTGTTATATTCGCCCATCAAATTCTGGAAGGGAATGGCCACATTGTGACCTATATGATCTCCTCATTGTTCCCGCGGTGGGCGTTGACGTCCCGGAATCATCTTCATGATCGACCACGGCAGCGACAACGACCACGACCACACTCAGCGGCGACTGCGTCCACTCCACCCCGGAAGGCACTGCACTTCCGCCTGGGGTGTCTCGACATGTTGAGGGACAGTATCCCGGGCCAGGTGGGCTATCTACTCTGATGGGTTCTCCCTGTTACCACCCCCCC